TTCTGGTGGGAATTCGTCTTCTAGTCCAACAACAACAACACCTCCAGTAGATAGTAGTAGTGGTGGCAGCACGACGAAAGGAAGGAGGAAGTATTCGGATGGAAGCATTGCTAATAATAATGGCAACAACAGTAGCAGTAGTAATAGTGGGCAACGAACAATGAGTCTAGGAAGGACGGGCAGCGCATCGCTACGGAAATTTGCTCCGAATGCGAGTACAAGTAGTGTAGAAGCACCAATTTCATTGCCACCCAATCCTCCAGTCATCGCACCTAGTCTCCCTATTATTAACACCGCTACGCCAGCCACACCACCAGCAGAAGACGATACAGTCATGTCTGACCTAGTAACATCAATGAGAACACTACGAATCCCATCCGAAATCCGATTTGGCAGAATGGCAAAGAAAAGCATCCCCAGCAGCAATAACATCAACCACCATCATCAGCCCTCATCATCAATTCTTGTTAATAATGTTAGCAATAACGATATACAAAGCAACAACAATTCTGATACACCATGGACGTTTGGACAAATCATGTCTGATCATATAAAACGGCGTCCTCAAAAGAAGGTCGAGGAGCAATCGAAGGATGCAGCTGCCCATCGTCTCAAACTTAGGAATCGGAATCAAATGGATTGTGACCAAGAGGGGTTTGCTAGTCATGAATCTGAAGTTTAGGAGTAAATAAGCAATGAATCCGAAGTGTAGGAATATATAAAAAACACAGTTTTGGTGATAATTAATGTTCTCTTTTTTTGTGGTAATACAAAGTGTCTATAATATGTACACACACTTTCCCCTCATTATTACAAGTTACTTTGTTCACACTTTCTACTCTTTCTCTCACACTGGAATATATAAAATTGATTGTTACAGGATATCAGATAGATGGATAGCAGACAGGATTTCGTTTACAGCTTTGTTTACAGCGACATTAAGATTTGGTTGGCATTGGATCATCCATAATAGATTCACGCATAGCCTGAGCGACAGCATTAGATAGTTTAACGGTATCAGTAGACTTTAAATTATCGGATTCTACAGGCAACTTGTTGGTGTTTGCGTCTCCTTTAGTTTTAACGGTTTCCTCGGCAGCTACAACGACTGTAGTAGGGATGTCATCGACTGGATTTTGCACATCGGCAACAATGGTGGCTGGCCTTTCCTCGGTCAATTCACCTGCACCTTCAGCAATACTAGTTAAACCGGCATCCTCACTAACCCCCTTTCGCTGCTCCTCATTCAACACCTTCTCACTACCAATAGAAGGCCCAGCAAATCCGGTAAACTTCGGTGACACACTACTAGTCCCCAAACCCCCCGTTTCTAAAACCGTGACGCGGCTGCTACCACCAACAACGGGATTCGTCAACCACAAATGCGGTTCCTGCGTCGACGCTAACTGAGCAGACACACTATCCCTCACAATAGCTCTAGTCGGCGACGGCTGTCCAAACGAGTCGACGCCAACGCGTGGCGGATGCTGGAAGACCACGGATTGTGTATACACGGAAGATGCTGGCATGCTACTATACACTGGCTGGTGCTGGGAGTACATTATGGTATGATCGTCTTCCTGTAGTGCACGGATGGACGCCATTGATGGTTTGTTGACTAGCATGGGCATTGCTCCGTATGGGTCAGAGTCCATTGTTGGTCCCATGCGAGTGTATATGTCGCTCGTTGTGCTGGCTCGTTTGTTTAGGGATGTGATGCTGGATTTCCGCGCTAATCCGGATGGTAGGGGCGGTAGTGGTTCAAACGATGATGGATATACCTCTCCGTTGAAGGGGCGGTCGAGACTGTTGGTGGAAAGTCGATTTATAGATTTACTGTCATAGTCGTTTTTGAAGCCTACGTGGATTACGGGGTACTGGTCTGCTACAGGTTGTTGGTACATACTTTGTGGTTGATAGATTTGGGCAGGCTGATACATGGATTGTCGATACATTTCAGGCTGCTGTGGTGGTGGTGCTCTATACAATGAGTCTTTATTAGGCAATGCAGGTGGAGGGCCATTTCGTTCCGCAACTGATGGTGGATACATTGGCTCATATTTGGCTAATTTATCAGATCCAGGCTGCATACTCATGACACCTTCCTCCATAACAGTCGTAGCCCTCGAAGCCGTAAACTGCTGTGATTGCCTCGCTTGCTGCAACACCGATTTCCCCTGGACCGATATCCGCGTCAACATAACCTGATACCCAAATCCCTTCAGCCCGTCAAACACCGCCATGGCCACATTAACCTGACACACCACCATGACAAGCGACGACATAATCATATAAAATCCATACGACGATAAAAAAGTGTTTGTGGAGAAACAAAATTTGGCTGGGTTGCTTCCGATTGATATAAAAGCGTTTTCGAGTGCTGTCACGGTTGCGTTGTCTGCTTGGGCTGCTTGGAAGAGCGGGACGAGGACTACACCGAGCATGGAGGTGTCACTTGAGTAGCATTGGAAGTTCATGAGGAGCATGACCATTAGAATTGCGACTGTGAGCAGTACACCAAGAAAGGAAGCCAGGAAGGCAGCATAGGAGAGCATAAACATGAACGTCAATACGAGGGTTGATGTTATTTCTAGGGTTACTGATGATGGAGATCTATCGAGGCACAGGTGTTTGGTCAGCCATTCGAGCTGCATTCCTAGTGGATGTTCTGTGTAAGTACGAAAATAATACTCAATTCAAACAAGAGGAGATATACCAGTAGTCCAAATAAAGCACGAAACGCCCACGGTTATGTTGATGATCAATGAACCAGTCCAAAATATCTGGACTGGGTATGCCAGAAACCCAATATCCAAGTAATCAATGTAAGTCCCCTTTGTAACGGAGTCTATTAGAAGTTGAGTGCAATACGGGAAGCAAGCAACTGTGGTCTTACCACTAATGCCTGATAGTCTATCCGGAGTGACGATACAGCACCCATCGCACAAACGCACCAAGTTACAGTGAGGAATGGTATCGATCTGTAAGTATAACTTCGTTTCAGTAATAGGATTCCTGAATGCTCAGTTTGTATCAACTCCAAAATCGACCAAAATCAAATGAACTGAATCATTATTTTGGTACCTGAAGACAGCCTTAACATCCTGCATACATTCAAGACAAGCACCGCCCATATTTGTTTTGTATGAATCGCTGTGTATTTCCTTTGGGATTAGTGGCAGGATTCATATTAAGTGTTAATTTGATCTGAAATTACCTTGTTCTTCCAGAGTAGTTTCAAATAGTTCTGGGCGCCGAGGAGATTGATCCACGTCAAAATCGTGTGATGTATAAATAATTTACAGTATCAGACTTTCTTCTTTGACCTTCCCTACTACGTTCGTCCTTCTGTTATGGCCTTGTTCTGTAATTGCCAAGAAACTAGGGGTTTGGACGTATAGAGCCTCCTGCTGACTAAACACTGAGAACCTTTGCAAGTTGATCGTTGTAAAGGTAGCAACAGAGGAACGGGAGAATACAACGCGACTTTAAGACTTTCGATATTTGTACCGAAATTCCCTGCCTATTTATGCATGAGAAAGACGCAGAAGTTGAAGCACAAACGACGACCTTCCTTCTTGACAAGCTGATCCGCGACTATCGGTCGCTCTTCTTGAAAGAACTTATACGGATTCTATCGCTTCAGACCATTCATACAAGAGTACTACTGATGACACAATGCTTCTTTTCAAGACATTAACCTGTTTGCTTAACGTCAGCCTGCGACGAAGCAATCCTTGTTGGAACGATGCATTATGGAGTGGGCCCTCGGACTCGTGAACTCAAAAATGGTAACTTTTGCCAACGGATCTGCTGCCTTGCTTGGTCGACTTCCCTCGAATTTTGCAACATCAGAGGCAAAGGACTTTGAAGATACCAAACCAGCGGCCACAAACGCAAATCAAGCCCAGAATCGGTTAGAGACGCCCTTGTTGCTGATCGCTCCAGTAATGTAGTTGAATCTGTTCATGGTTGTCTTTGTCGGTTGAGGACTCAACAGTCTATTTGTTTCAGCTGAGTTTAGAAGGGACCACACTGTGGGTCTATTCAGTATTCGGGCAGCCAGTATATGCTCGGTTATCCCGTTGCCTCGCTGATATTACAGTGGTCGTCTCTCACGATCAACATCCTTTGGAGCAACATTCTCAAATCTGGTGTTTAACAAGACGTTTGCTTCTGCAAGGGCCGAGTCAGTGAACAAAACGTGGCATGCCGAAGATAACACCCCTCAAAAGAAGTTGGAACCGCATATTTGACAAGGGAGGACACGTGCGAGTATTGGGCAGGTCGAGGTTCTCTGCCAACAACCACTCGGTTGGCGCAATTTGGCAGCGCGCATGGCTCTTATGCTTAAGATGCACCATGAGGTCTAGGGTTCGACCCCCTAACTGAGCGATTTGCCGTGGCGCAATGCAATGTTGGTGCTCTAGTCTGACAAAGTTCTCATCTTTGTCTTTTTTGTCATTTTTGTCACTTGTGTCAGCACGTACCTCGCTTGAGGACAAGGCGAGGCTAGTGTCCTCGACAAGTGTCCGCGTGTGAAAGTCAGTATCTGTGGGTTCACTAGCATTTTTGCCTACAAACGTTTTCCCCGTCGCAACTCTCTGGATTTTTTGCTCACGCAACCATCTTTTGATGAAGACAGGAAAGGATTCAGTGGGATGTTTGTTTTGCAGGCACTAGCCTGACAGACAGACTTGAATGGTGTATGTTACAAGGGAGCACACTTTGGGTTTGCTACTGTCAAACATGGTGGCATCGAAGGTCGTCGCTTACCTGTCTTTGTTTTTTTTCCTCTCAACCCAACTTCATCAATTGATTGAGTTGCTTTCTCGTGCTAATTTGAGACTCTCGCTAGTATCATGCCCGACACATCTTCTGTCGAACCCCTCCTTAGTTTGATTCTTCACATTCAAGGTGGTCAAAACGAAAACTCATGTACTATCAAGCCTTAAATATATTTTTTCTAAGATGAATTATCACACACACAGTTTTTACAGTTATGTCTGAATCTTATAAAACCTCATCAAAAACCTCTTGTCTTCTCGTTCTTCAAACAGTTCTTCTTCGAGCTCTGTCAACCTCTGCATTCGCTTTTTGGACAACGAGGCCAAGTAGAAGACACATAGTACCAGGAAGGTTAGGATTGGTCCCAAGAAGGATACGTCCGAAATAGTGCTAAAGAAGGCAGCTCCACTTCCTGAGAGTGATTTGACCCATTTGGGGACCACATCATACATGACTAGGATTGCACCTTGAGTAGCTGTGTATGGCCACGTTGATGGATTGAATGGGCCGCATGATGATGGAATTCTGGAGGAAAGTGAAAATGGTGTCAGAACGCAAAAAGAATACATGGTAGCAATTGATGTATATGGTCTAGTACGCGAAGAGCTCACCGTAACATGGCCCACCAAATCGGGAATCCAGATAGAACCAGAGTACATCCCATGAAGGCCAAAAACCAAAAGCTTTGTTTCGACGAGTTGTGTATCATTTTGGGTGGTTCACCGAAATAGAGCAAAGTATAGTACTTGGCGTAGAACAAGATGAGACAGGTTACGACTCCCAGTAGAGGAACTACGGGAGAATAGATTGAGCCAACCCTGCAGAGACGTAAACAAGCGTTTAGTAATCGCGTACGATGGGTTTGGTGGGAGTTTTTTGCCATTGTCGACATGTAGCACACTCACCAAATCAGAGCTTGACGGTATACCAGCTCAAGAGTGTTGCTTGGAAGATCAAACTCCCATCGACCCCATACTCGGTTGTAGATAAAGGCTTCAATGACGGTTTGTACAGCGGTAATGATCAGATCTAGCCAAATCAATTGGTAGAAGGCCCCACCGATAAGATTTTCCCAGCAGACAGCCTAGAAATCACAGTAAATGAGTCTTAAGCATTGCAAAAAAAAAGAAAGAGTAGCCGAGGATCACAGTCTCCGTGTCGACTTACGGGATTTGGTCCATACAGCTGAACGTAGATACCATAAAGCACGACATAAATCGAAGCCATTTTCAGCACATACGTCCTACTCAACATCATGGTAATCTCCCAATCAGGACTGCTCCACTGTTCAAACTTGGACAACCAATAAAAGACGATTGGGAACACAGCATTCATAGCAGACATGACCAATGATGCATAACGATTACTAGAAGCATCCACCACAGTAGACAGCCAAATGAGGAAACATGCCAATCCCAAGATGACAAGAGTACAAATATTGGCAAATACACGTTTAGCAATCAAGATTCTCTTTTCACGAACTGATCGGTCTTGGAGTCTTCGTTTGATGGTTTCTTGGGTTATGAGTGCTTTCAAGACGGTTGAAAGAGCCATACCGTGTGTTTTGACGGATTTGGAGGATGCGAGGGTATAGTCCCATCCAGTGAAGAGAGCTACTGCAAATGGCGTATGCTCGTCAAGTTGGACGGTGCTGGAGTGGTATGGTCGAGCAATGAAGATTGAGCGCATCCTAAACCGAAAAAACCCGTTAAAATTCAAACATGACTCAAGAAGAAGTTGTTGGCACTCACGTCATGACAATGGCGAGGAAACTGATACCAAAGAATGAAAACATGCAAAAGATCCAAGCCAAATCTAGACGATAAGTTCCACCGAGCGCTTGAGCACTATAACCACCATAAAACATGGCAGTGTATCCCCATCCTGACTATTCATCAAAGTTGGTTTAGATCATGGCACAAAAAAGAACAACATGCAAAATGTACGCACACCACCAGTAAAAAAGGTCAAGAAACTTCCACCACCGCCAAGACTAGCAACCCGTGATTGACCACCACCAACACTCTCAAACATTCCCAAAAATCCTTCCACAAAGACAAACCAAAACCATATCGATGCCAATACGAAGTTCAGCAGAAACACCCAACGAGCCAGCACAAAGTAACTAGCAATCCCAGTTCCGAATTTAGTTTCGATGGCTTTAATGTTCTTCATCCAGATTGGAACTGTCATGATTTTCTTAAGTGGATGCCTCCTCATCCAGCGACGAACATCGTAAATGTATCTTTTGATGCCCTTTAGTTGTGATCGTTCGGATTTTGTTTGGAAGGGTGTTGGCATTCGTGATCTACAATTTATATAAAGAAATATGATTGAGAATTCGAGACTCTGGTCATTAATACATCGGGCGTGCGCTTTTTTTTACCTAGCACCAGGACTCTCCAAATCAGCAGTCTTTTCTACTTCAATAGCAACTTGTCCTTGTTGTCCTGGCTTTCCATTCAAAGCTTCAATCGAAGCTGCCTTTTCTTTGGCACGTCTCTTGACGACTCCACTCTTAAAGTTTTCAGCTCGTTGATCTTTTTGCAATTGTCTCAAGTCACGTCGTCCGACACCTGAATAGCCTACGTAGCGTCCACCATCATCACCTTTAACTGCGTGTGGAATACTGCCTCTATTTGCAGTTCGATAAAAGTTAACATGTGAAGGCATGACTTCTGATGGTGGGATTGGTTCTCCACTCCTATTGTATCAGAAATGAAAGTCAGCATGTCAGGTGAGAACATTACAGTGAGACATCACGTGAAGAAGGCACAAGCAAAAAACCACAGCAACAAAACCAGAGTAAGGCCAACTGGTCAAAATTCTTTTCATACATTGATACTGGACGCATAATCCTCTTAGCATCTGTAGCTCGAGGAGACATTTGATCAGTCGGAGATCCTTGTGGTGGTGAATTGGTACTAGCATTCCTTTGCTGAATATCAATCCTCATAGCTGGTGGTTCATTCCTCGAAGGGCTTCGATCCTTCTTTGCACCTTCTGGGTGTCGTGCTTGAGCAGCGAGACCTGCAGCAGAAGCAGCACTATTGTCGTTACCAGGAGGTCCGGTTGTTGGAACAGTTCTAGGGTGATTTACAGAAACACTTCTAGAACGGGATCGGGGTTGGGATTGTTGACCATCAGGGCGTAGCGCGTCCGCATTTCCATTGGAAGTAGGTCTATTGTCGACGGATGTAGATGCTCGACCCTTATCTCGACCACCACTACCACTGCTAGCACCATAGAGACTAGATTGTCGTCGCACCATACTGGCTCTTCGTTCTCGTGGATTGACTAGCAGACTATCTCCACCAGCTACAGATGCACGTCTAGCACGTCCGATTTTGACGGCTTCCTCCTCCATTTCAATTAGTGCTTGTGCCATTATCCTGTCAGATTCCTCTGGACTCATTTGAGCATCTGTAGGTGTAATAGCTCGTAAAGCTGCTTCATGCAGTCTGTTTGAGGATGCTGTGACACTAGCACGACTATCTTTTGATGCACCAGATATGCTCATTCGTGGTATCGTTGAAGTTGGCGTCGATGAACGAGATCCATCGGTTGAGGTGAGCAATACTGAAGGAAGAGGAGCTGGAGCGGCATCATGCAATTCATCTTGTGATTTTGGACGACCGAATGTGTCTGGCAACACTGCATTTGGTGAACTTTGAAACCCTATAGCGTTAGGGAGTGGGAATGGAATGTCGGTTCCCTCAGAACCAGCGCTCTCATTGCGATCACTCATGATTTTAGGCCTTGGATTCTGTTCACCAAAGAGGCAGTGGTGAGGTCACAAATGGGGAGAGTCAAGGAGCAAAGCTTCACATCCGGAGGTTTTAATTGTTGTCAAGTGCGCAGAACTCAGGGAGATGGAACACTTCCGGGCACCAAGAAGCATGCAATACACTACTTTTGTCACATAATATTCGGTCACTTACTGGTTGATTCACTCTTACTTTGTTACAAACCGTTCAAAAATACAAAAACTAGATAGTGAGTAATTCTAGATCAAAACCGTGACCATACGCTCAAAGCACCTCACGGTTCGTCATAAGTACATTTCAAACTTGAATCACTACAGCATGATCTTCCTTCCAAGCTCGAATCTTTTTGAGATCTGCTGTGGGAGGTAAAACCAGACGCGAATGCGTACTCGTGCCCTCTATCCGCACTTCACGAGATCTTTCATAGACCGAAACGCTGAGATCTGTTTCGGATTTGTTTTCTTGCAGCCCGATAAAGTACAAGTGGCAGTGATTCTCTTCGTCATCTACAAGCGAAAAGCACGAGTTTCGTCAGGTCTCAACACATACATGAAATACAGGTATATACACGTACCAGCTTCAAGGAAATAAGAGGGCGGTAGAGACTCATCGAATACCGGAGGATACAGGCTGGCAGGATACACGAAAACTGCAATATCTTCCTGCTTTGTTGGTTTATACTCGCCTTCCTTCGAGTATGGAGGAAGATCCGTGTGTCTAGTAGCCAAAATAAGTCAGATATCGGTCTCGAGACTGGCCACAACGAAGCAAGTGAAGCCTCTCATGGTCCAACTAAGACATACGTGCTCATGACCTTTGCCTCTCGATTCACATAAGGCTGTTGATATATTGGCTGCTGCTGATACTGCTGCTGAGAATAATACATTGGCTGCTGCTGCTGTTGGTTATAGTATGGCTGTTGTTGCTGGTATTGCGGTTGCGAGATGAAACCAAGTAGTCCGGGTTGCTGCCTATAGTACGAGGGCCCAGCGCCCAAGACAGGATATCCATAATTATAAGGGCGACAGTGGCCGTATCTATAGCGTCTTCGTCCGCACATGTTTTGCTTCCTTGTTGTTTTGTGCTTTTGTGGCAATGCTTTTGCTCAAAAGGAGCTTGGCCATCGATTCAGTCGGGAAGCATCTGTGGACGTGATTTGTCACGTATTGGACTTGAAAATTACGTGGTATGAGCTCTCAGGAACGTGTTTTCTGTCTGTCAGCCTTCCAACTCTGTCCAACTTCACAAAAGTCTATATGTCCAACGATTCGGGCAATCTCGACCAGCTCCTATCAGATCTTGGTCTAGCACTACATCCAGATATCGCAAAGCACCGTAAACTAACCACAAAAGTCGCCCGCAAGCCAGCTCAAGTAATTCTAAGAGATGACGCCCTCGCAATTTCGAGCTCTAGCTCATACATCTGCCATGCATGTCTCGTCGCATCATCTGCCACCCTCCTCGTATGTGCAAGATGCAAGTCGGCTCGATACTGCAGCAAGAAATGCCAGGCATCAGATTGGAAGTCAGGCCATAAACTCGCATGCCAATTATACGTCAACTACGCAACCGATCACGATATAGCCGAAGCTGATTTACTCATAAAAGCTATATATAAATCAGACGAGGCCAGTAAAAGTGTCGCATGGATGTCATTCTCAAAGCTTATGGACCATGCTAATGAATTCGACGATGAAACAACGATGGAAATGAAGCAAACTATTGATTGGGTATCGCAGGTATCATCACATGGACCAAGTGATATGATGACGTATTTAGGACGTTTCAAATCAAACAATTACGCCATGTATGATCCAGATCTAAACATTGTAGGAGAAGGCTGCTTTGCTCTCGCAGCGCTACTCAATCACTCGTGTCATCCAAATCTCTGTATCGAATTTGAAGGGCGTGGAATGGTGGTGAGGTGCATGACAGAGCTGACATCTGGTGATGAACTGTTGGTGTCATATCAGGATCCAATGACTCCGGGAACTCGTAGGCGGTTACTGCTCAAGGAAAAGTATCAGTTAAGCTCATGTCCTCACTGTTTGTTTCCCTCTGTGCGTGAATGACGTGCTCATAGTTCTTTCCTGACATTCCTTTTTTTGGTCTTAGTTTTGACTGCACCTGCATCCGATGTGTAAAACCAGACCCCATAATACCAGCCCTCCATGGTGGATTTCCATACGTAGATACCCTACTCACAGATGCAGACGACCCCATCGACTTGCACATAGTATCAAACCTCATAGCAGACGCTACAAACATGCCCTCATATATCCCCATATTCAACAACCCCAATCCAACACCCCCGATATCACCACCACTCATATCATATATATCAACCATCCTACCATTCATGGCCCCCGTAATCCCACCAACATCATCCCAAACAACATACCTAACGAAACACCACGAAATAATCACCACATTCATCACCACACCATCAGATATATACACCCTCCCAACATTTATAGCAGCAAGCACACTTCTAACGAATCAAATCGAGTCTGGTAAACCGCAATGGCTGGATGTAGCGATATTGGCCATGTATGCTGCATCAACGTATTTGTTGGTATATGAAAGGTATCATCCAATGGTGGGGCTCAAGTTCTTGTTGGCGGGGAAGGCGCTGTTTAATGCTGCCGAGGATGCAAAGACGCAGCCAGAGTTGAGGAGTATGGTTTTAGATGCACAGGTGCTCGTCAAGTTGGCAAAGGAGTGCCTGGCTGTGTCTCATGGGTATGAAGGTGCTAACGGGCGGGTGATGAAGGATGTTGAAGAGGTTGAGAAGGCTATTCTCATTGAGTTGTCATGATACGTGTAGTATCAATCAACCGGGGGGGGGGGGGGGGGGGTATTCCATTTTCTTAGCGCAGCCCATTACAGTTGCTCAACCTCATAAACAGTAGTCCCATATTGTACGTATTTGCACTATCTATATAGAACAAACTTCAGAATGCTATTACACTTGTGCTTTTATGTATACGCCCTTAGCGCTCCCTTCCATCCCCGACTAAACTATAAACAATGTCATGTTCTATGTTGGATGTATGTGTGTCCCTCTGTCCTTCTTTCATCATCGTAGATTCATCTTCTTGACTTCTCGTGCCAATTCACTGAAGTCATTCTCATCCTTGCCTGATCCAACCAATCCACCTGGAGCACCAGTACCGGCAGCAACTCCTAGACTCTTTTTGCTTTCAAACACCTTCCAGAATTTGAGATTCTCATCTGCTGCTCCGGTAGCCAGTGTTTGTCCATCTGGTGATAGGGCGGTATGAAGTACGCGAGTATCGTGGCCAGGCAAATCTACTATTTTACCAAGTGATGGGTATGCCCAGACCGAGATCTGGTTGTGTGGGAAGCCATGCGATGATACAAACTCTTTGTATTCTAACGACCACCGTATCGACGTTACTTGAGATCCAGTGTCGACTGATGATAGACGCGCTGCCGTAGAAGAGTTCCAAAAGTGTATATGACGGTCGTTGGTGCCACCACCAGACGCCAACACATTGATTTGCCAAGGGCACCATGCAATAGCCTTGTAAAGGATCAATGAACACATTTGTTAGTCCAAAGCCAAAAACTGTGGAAAGCGACACAACAGAATTTGAAGCGTAAAATGTGGGTTCACGCAGTCACGCAAGCACACGTACTCGTCACCTTACCTTGACTGCAGCTGTATGATTGCTCTTCGTGAATCGGGGTATAGAGCTACGAGCATCCCATATATTGAGAAGATTGTCATTTCCCCCCGAAGCCAGAAAGGCACCATCAGCACGCCATTGCAATCCACAGACTTCACCGGTATGATTAATCATTTCAGCAACTTTATGATTGGCTATTCGGACATCATGATTCCAAATACTTCCATCTCGAGCACCAGATGACAAGATATATCGATCCCAGGACATCACTCCAACTCGTGAAGTATGACCTCTCATATTGCGTATCATATTGCCAGCCTCAACGTCCCATATTTGTGTTGATCCTTCATGAGTGCCTATAGCTAGATACGAGCCATCTTGCACCCATGATAGCGAAGCAATATAATCGTCTTCACCAGTTAAAGAGCACAATTCTTCTACATTGCCTGATTTTGCATTCCAGAGATATACCGTCTTGTCAAGTCCTACGGCTAATACATTTTGACTACTCCAGTCTAGCAGGTTGAGATAATAGTCGTCCACCATTCCAGGGGCATCGAGTACGCGATCAGGGACTGTTGCTATACGTCTTTTTGCGGCTGTATTGGGACGGAGTGGTCGAGACCATTGTGTACGTAAGTCGTCTCTGGATGCTGCTGGTGGTTCCATTGCAAATGATAATATACGCTTGTCTAGTGCCAGTCCACAAGCTTTTGCGATTTCTTCTTGGTAGGCCAAGTGAGCTGGGTCGAGGTAGCATGGTTTATCTGGGTTTTCTTTTCGGCTGAGATTGAGTTGTGATGAGGCCATGTCCATTGCATCTCGATTGGGTATAAAACGGTGATTCTAATAAAGTAAATAAAATTTGTAGTTGTCTTAGTATAAGGTTCCAATATGCAATCCATCAAATTACATTACAAGCTCAAAAACGAATATGCTGCTCTTCTTGACTTAACTCCTTCTTTGGGTCGTTTACCACCCACCACAACCTGAGTCTTTAGCAACTGTTTCATATCAGTTGGCAAAGTATCTCTAGTCCTGATCATGTTGCGATTGGGAGTACCACTGCCATCTCTTGACAATTTCGTTGATTTACGAGGAGTTTTACCCAACGGAGATGCAGCGCCATTTGATGCTAGATCAGGTCTGACTCTAGCAGGAGAACCTTTAAGACCATGATGTTGCTGTACTCCACTTGAACGTCGACCTCGTTTTGATGCTGACTTGTTGTGATGCATATGGACTGGAGACAAGTGGTCGACGAGACGATGAGCTGCATTACTGTTGTTGCTTCGTTTCGGAGTTGAGTCTAAAGGAGGCATGATGTCTGCTAATGTAGACTAAAGGAAGAGATGTAACTAGATTTGATATTTGAAGTTTTGTTTGATGATGGAATACTGCTTTTGAGTGGATCCAAACAATGTACAGCCCGTTCCTAGTGTTCATTCTATAATCATCCAAGTCTGCTTACGTACCTTATATGTCTTCAATAGTCCTTCATCAACTAGAATGCTTGTGGCTCTTTGATTTCGTAGTTTTTGTTTTGATGGTGTTGGTTGAAACAAGATCACAAATCACAACAAATTCCGCCACAAGCAAAACAGGATTTTGGAAAGGAATACTCGCCGAAACTCAACCATAAACGCGTCTACAAGGATAAACTTTATATTCATTATCATATCAGCAATCAGCAATAATGCAATCAACAAAAATACTACCAGAATCATGTTGACTTAGAGTTGGTGACATTGCTCGACTTATTAAATAGTGAGTAGTGACACATTGCAATTACCTGCTTTACGTGATTTCTCGCGAATTTCATCTCTGGTGGTCAACATCGCATTTCTTCCTGAAGGCTTCAGTCAGACGCCGTGACGTCTTTTCCATTTGACGACGTATAGTCAAATGCACCTGCTGACGGTGACAAGAGACTGGCGAACCTGTCGTTCTCTCTACTGGTGGTAGTAGTGGCGGCAGGGAATGTAGGTATCCGGAATGTACCATAGCGAATGTTAAGAGTCTTGCTCAGACGACTCTAGCATCAAAGCAATTGAATGACTCTGTAGGAATTGTTTAATCTTCAGCTCGATGATTTAGTGCACCAAGCCCATACTAACCTGTTGACATTGAAAATGTTTTAGTTCTCAAGCCATTGCTTTCCATGTACAGTATTACAAAAGAATGTATAGGGAATAAAAGTGGTACAAAAAATCTCATATTGCTTACATTGATGTAATAAAGCTCAGGATCCACTCAAAATTTCTTCACCAAACATCTCGTTTCACGTGTTTTATTTTGTAGGTTTGGTTTTCATATAATTGCTGGACGTGTTAGTAATGACCAAGGCACTATATGGGGGTAGCATTACCTTTATCACGCACCTTAACACGTATATGGCCTTTCTCAGGACACTCTGATACTTGGTAGCTTGTTCTCGCTCGTTGTCGACTACGTCAAATCTCAATGCAATTTCTTCTCAAACCAATCGAGTCGTCGAGTCGCTTCATATTCCAACTGTTTGAGCGTATCATTACAAATAAAACACCGTTATACTACCTCTACCTCTGTTACTTGTTCTGTTATATAACAGTCAAGAACACATCAAATTTCGCCAACACGAAAACAAGCTTTTTTGTCAGGCATACTGACGTAAACTCGTCGAGAATCGTGTCATAATTACTATATACAATCCATAATATTACTACAACGCTACCGGGGCGTCGGCGACATGGCTCGACTAATCGCTGCTCCTACATTTTCGACAGGACTCCTCAATCCCCAAGGTACCATTCCCCAGAGAGCATGTTGAGCTATATGCCGTGCAGAAGGCTTTGTTGCAAGAGCTTCATTCTCACGATCCGTGAGCCATTGCGCCAAGTCCATGACCATCTGGTGTGAGGCAAAAAGAAATCAAGTATGTGTAAGCCGCTCAAAGGCTCTATATTCACCAAATTGAGGCAAAATGCTTCTCGTACCTGATTTACATGATCTCTCGTAAATTTCATCTCTCTCGTCAACCTTGCGTTTTCTTCCTGAAGACTGTCAGCATCTTCCGTTAGACGCCGTGACGTCTTTTCTATCTCACGACGTATATGTTCAAATGCAGCTGCTGACGGTGACAGCAGGCTAGTTGTTCTGCCTTTGCTTTCAACTGGAGGTAGTGGTGGAAGCGATTTTGGCAATGGTGAGGCAGGAGGATGTAGCTGCATGTCGAAGATGCTTCCGTCGAATTGCTGCACGTCTCGTCTTATAGATTCGGCCATTTCGGCCATGAGCGCTGCTAGTCTTCTTGTTTCTTTCAGGAGGGCTGAGAAAAAACAGGTTGGGGTTAGACAAAAAAACAAGGTTGCCCGGATATTGCACGGATCTTTCAACCTACCTTGAATAGAAACCACCTTCTCTGAACATTCGGCGTACAGTTTAACTAGTTTCTTATACTGCGCCGTCGTTTGCTGCCACTATGTAGTACGATAAATTAGTTCCACGAATACACTCTCAGGCTCATGTGATCAACCTTACCAATTCATCCCTCGTCTCAACTGTTATCAAATCCTTCAACGGTTTCAACCTAGCTTCTAGCGTCACAGTCCCACCCAACATTTCCACCAATTCTTTTATCTTCACGAGGGTATCATCCAAGGATATCTCTCCTAGCCGATCCGAGACAACATCTAACTGATTCTCAAAGGTCTGTGATGATAAACATGTCAGAGGGTCCATTTTTTGGAAGCAGTGGTTGGAAGTCTATACCTGAGCATTCTCAAGAAGCGGCTGAAGCGTATTCATCATCGACGCATCTGTTAACGGCCTCTGATTCACAGACATGTCATACCGAGCTCTCTCAATACTGATCGACACAGCAGACAGCCATAAACCCAAATCAACACCCGTTCTCCCATTCCCACTGTGTGAGCTTCGTATTGGTGCGGCTGAAGCGTCAGTTCCCAATAATACAGTTAACGCAGTTCGTAATGCGGGGTTGGCTACACTAGCTCCTGCTACTGCGAGCAACACTCTCGTCATCACTATAGCTGGAAGCACGTATACTCGAGGGACTTGTCGTTCTATCACATCTCGGTCAAACTTGCGAGATAGTTCCTGCATGGCTAAGAAGAGCTGCAGCGACCAGTTCAATAGAATCCTGAAACGTTCCGATGTAGATTGTAGATCGTTCTGTATCGACTAGGCAGCGCAAAAAATGGAGAGTCAGTAGTTGTTCCAAACATTTTGCCAATGTCTGGTAGATAAACCCCAGGAGGGAGCGAACAAGTACAAGCTCTGACCGCATTGCCCATACAGCCAAGGTCAACATGCGCCGAGCGCAATCCTCACAATTCCAGTCCACCAGCTTCGTTTTGTACCTGAAGACCAGCTTTAATCTCATTCCAATGACCTTCCTGACCCTTTAACAGAGACGTGGCCTGCCTTATCGAATGTTTCGTGGCCATTTGATGTCGGGGAACTAGTGGCTAATGTCGTTAAAAGATCTCATCCGTTAATATCTCACTTAATGTCTTGAAAGTGTATTTAGGTGGCGTTAAGCCCAAAGTCTCACATCGCTTTCTTTGATTTTTTGGCTTCAGTGATTTCTATTATAAGAGATATACAAAACTACATGCTTTTCATGCTTCTATGGACTATGTGTGTCGTGTGTATGTTTTACTATTCCGTGTTTCCTCAGATATCCGTTCATCTAAACAGACATAACGTCCGGATCCTCCAATGCCAACCTCATAATTTTATAAGTCTTACCACGCCGTCTCCATTTCTCAATCTTGAGTTCCTTACGACCCCCTTTGGATTTTTGAGTGACGGCAACAAGGAAATCAGCTCCACGTGCAATCCATTTCTGCGTAAAGAAGGGAATATGGTGTTCATTCGCTTGTAAAAGGATGAGAAATATTTCTGATGAATCTATACTTACCGCAATGAACGGGAAGGCCCATCGTTCTCCAATCCAGGAGGACACTGAGGATATAGCGACGACTCCAAGAATGTAGACTCTTCCTTGGTACGGCAAGTTCTCTAGTTCTAGCTGGTAGGCCAAGAATTCTGGAGGCGCCATTACCAGAAGTGTGTTGAGTGCGAATAGACTCAATAGCAGTAATAATAGAGGGACTAGGCGCGAGAGCAGGGTTTGTGAGTGTCATATTGATCACTCTACCATTATTATTTTTTTGCTCGTACACATACCATTCCTCCATATTGGCTCCCGAAAGGGCGGACCGCGAGTAAAGACTGCCGCCATAGTGAGATACTGAAAGCTGCTGACCAGAAAGACAACTGTATTCTCATAGCAACCAACAATCTTGTCATAATCACCCTAGTTCCATCATAGTCAGAAAAAAAAGGAACGTTTTCGTGCACAATTGGTTGCCCACATACCGCAAAGTAACGAGGAGGAAGATACCAAGGCTGCCGCCGAACCCACAGGAATACGTAGACTTGTCCTATAACCTGTAGAGCTACCTGCCCTACTAGTGAAGTCAACACTTTCTTCGAAGTGAGAGAAGCAGTAGGTCGTCGAGGTGATATCGATTTGGATGGTCCACTACGGCCCATGAATACAGCCACAGGGAGTATCAGAATCAAGTCAATGTACATATACTAAGTAGTGTGTGAATGAGTCAGCATAGAACAACAACTCTCAGCAAGACAAAAACGGTCAGAGAGGGCAACCCAATATTCACATACCTGAACATCTCCCAAATTTGCACTAAAAGTATACATCAAGCAAACACTTGAAAATTGTACAAGAGAGTACAATGCCATAAACTTGAATAGTCCAAATGAAGTGACTAGAGCTGCTCTTCCTTCACGGACTACTTGCAAGACACAGGCCAAATCCGGAGACTTGGAAGTTAAAGGTGCGGCGACAGAAGCTTCAGCTTCAGATAACGAGATGCCCACATCAGCAGCTCTCAGAGCTCCACAATCGTTGGCACCGTCTCCAATGAAGCCTGTACAGTAGCCAATATCTTGGAGCCTTTCAACCATGATTTGCTTTTGATCTGGTGACATTCTAGCAAAGATCTGACACTTGACCAATAGCTAGTAAAGCAAATGATATCGTAAGTGTTGCGCAAAAACACATCTCAGGTGTTACATCAATGACATGCAAGTAACACGTACCCTGTCCATTCTCTCCTTGCTGGCAAACTCCAACATCCACTGAAAGACATCTCCAGTAACTGCCAGAGCATAGGTATAACTACGTTGAGGAGGAGCCTGTCCAAGCAGTCCATCCATGCTAGCTCGTCCACCAATACTTATATTTCGTAACGAGCTCTGCCACGACGAGATACTAGTAGTCCGAGATCGACTATGCCCAGGCTCTAGTAGAGTTTGACCAATGTTCGATACTTTGAGCTTAAAGGTGATGGGATCTAGATCGAATCGGCCAGCTGTGCCTAATCGAATATCATCACCACCTGGTACTAACTCCCATGATACATGGGAAGTTAATGTCGAATCGCCAGGTATTAGACGAGAGACAAAGACTATACAGTTTGGTGGGATAAGTTCGACTTCTCGAGCTACGGCTATGGCTGTTCCTGCGTTGTCGCCTGTGCACATCACGGTTCGTAGATGTGATGCAAACAAGGCCTTCATGACAGGTGTTGTTCCATCCTACAATGTAAGAATAAAAGTTAAGCTTTTCTGTCATGTTGTCGATACCTCATTGGGTTTTTACGGGGCGACAAAAAAATCAGAGAATACCTTGGGTCTATTTTCAAACAATGCAAATCCAGCAAAAGTCAATGCACATTCTACTTCTTCTCTTTTACAAGTGGCTGCATCGAAACCAGTAGTGGTAGAATGTAATCTACGCCAAGCACATGCAATTACACGATGGCCACGTCGAGCATGATCTGCCAATTGGAAATCATAGTTATCTGGCACTACATTAAGGAAAAGATCGGATCGTCAGACATGTTCTTCATAGCAACAAAAAGGGGCTTTCTGGCCTCAAACGATACCTGATTCCGGGCGGCAAATAGCACGTATTACTTCTGGAGCACCTTTCACAAATGCTTCAAATCCAGGCTCAGATTCTTGACCATCAAGAGAATCTCTACGTCCACGATATCTAAATCTCTTGACAACCACAGCAGCTCTCCTTAGTCCAGCATCAAATTCAAATATTCTGACGACTCCAAACTCGGTATTATACAATTCAGACAAGTCTTGCGACGTGGTATCACCACGACTGGGACTTTTAGGTCCTGAAGTCGAAGATGGTGGTCGAATAACTGCTGCTATTGGTATTCCGTTTAATGATGTGCGTCGATTGGATGCCGATGAGCCGCCTTCATCTAGTCTAAATCTTGTGTATTCAAACATCTGTAGGTCGAGTGGATCACCAGACAATATCCCTGTACGGGATGGGTCTCCATTAGTAACTGCTTTATTTGAGCATACTCATCAGACCTACACTTACCATCAATAATCTTAATAGAATGACATACAGCAGCAACGCATACCAATGGAGGGTATGGAAAGCCTGGCGTAATCCCATCTAACTCACTATCATCAGCATCGTACGAAGTCAAGGCCTCCAACGAGTCTGCAACAGCATCCTCTACACGTTCCCATGATCCACCAAACCGGACCTGGTCATCTAAACCCCGTTTTAAAGAGACTAGACCCAGAGTTTCCAGTCCTTCGCGAGTTAACGTACCAGTCTTGTCAAAACACAAGACTTCGAGTTTCCCACCAATGTTGATGCGAGATGGTGCTATGCAGTATATGCCCCAGCGCCGTAATCTCGCTAAAGCGAATGAGGTTCCGATGGTCATTGTAGCAGGAAGCTGTGAAAATGAAATAAGAATAAGCAACAGTTTTTCGAGGGAGAAAAAAAGCACACAAGTTGTTCAAACACACGAGGTTTTCAAACGTACCGCTGGGGGGACAACAATCGTTACAAGATCCAGAGCTCTCACGAATATGATATCCCACGGAACGCCCATCTGGACAAAATTATACAGCGAGACTAGGAAGCCAATACAGGCAATGCCAAACAAGAAGGCAATAAACTTGAAGGCTGATTAAGAACATGCGTGAGTGATTTCGTACTCTAAGCTCAATAAACGAAACTTACCATCTTCATAGAATTGAAATTTCTTGTGGGGCTTTGGATAAAGCATTGCTCTGACAAGACCTCCTTTCGTGGTATAGAATCCAGTCTTCACCACAAATCCCTGTGACATCACCATAAAATCAGCAAAGAGAGGCGATATAATTCGCACTACAAAGTGACATAAACTCATACCAAAGCTCCACGGGGCTCTTCAATATCCCGTCTTTGTAATCTAACTCGAATGACTTTTGTACCAGAAAATAAAAAACTCTTCGCCAACACAGGATCTCGTGTTGGATCGATACCATCACTTAACATAGAAACTAGCTGGCTTTGATTGGATTCCAGAGATGTTGGAGATATGGTTGGAAGTTTGGCAACTGGTACTGATTCTCCAGTTAGCAGAGCTTCATTGACTATACATTCTCCTTTGAGGAGAAGAGCATCACATGGAAAGATATTCATTCCGGATTGTGGGATCTCAAAAATGTCGCCAGGCTAATATTTGGAGAGTTTGCGTGTGAGATGACCTGGCGATACCCACAAAAAAGAGCAAAGCATACCAGCATGTCTTCCGATCTAGCATCTAACCATCCTCCATTCCTCCATAGACGAACCGAAACTGAAAACCGACTCATTTCCCGCATCCTTTTGATGCTCTTCTTCGTCTCGACTAGAGTAGTAAATACAGATATGGCGGATATGAGAAAGATGCAGGCAGCGTATATGTAATAGTCATCGTAGCTCCTGTAAATTGACAGAGATGGTGAGCATTCGGTATGTCGTCGAGTGGTACTCGGAGATGTAGTAAGTTACCATAAGATTATGGAGAAGATTTGAAACACTAAAAAAAGCAACACACTTAGCACCGAACCATTGAAGCAGTCACAGAATATGCCTACTCAAGCAATACATACCAAAAAAGGGATGCAATACTTCATCAAAGAGAAGCTTCATCCAACTAGGCTCTTCCACATCAACAGAGTTCCATCCAAATAGCTTCTGCCGCCTCTTCAAGAACCCATCGTCTGAGAGCCCTTTCAAGGTTTCTGAAGGGACAGTCCATACGGGATCAGTCCAGTTCGATATACATTCGTACTGTCCAAATATCGGATTATATACAAATCGCCAGTACCGATAGTCAAACATGCGGATAGTAGGCATAGATGGGTCTAGATCACTAGATATAGTTCCTCGTGGAGCGATAGGTGGAGGTGCGGTTGAAGGGAATGCATCAGATAAAGGCCCATTCCAAGACGACTCCACAATGTCTATAACATCCTCTTCGCCCCATGAATTCTCAACCAGGATACGTTGGCCAGTGTTTAAACTGCATACGGTACATGTTACAAGTAGCTTCCATCTAGGGAACCAGCGTCCAAGTAGAAAACCAAGGCCCAGTGTCGAGCACGAGAAGACATTGAATACGAGAATACGAAAGGGCTGTACTTGGTAGGCAGTTATTGTAAGGCGTGTTTCTTCATCAGGAGACAGTTCCTGTCCATAATCTACATCAGCAAGAGGCCATGACCGAGTTAGATTTGCGAAAGGTTCACGTTATCTTTGCAAAACTCTAAATGTTGAAAAACCCCAATACCTAGTGATGGTAGCGATGAGAAGCTGGACGGCTTGGGAGAGCTTTGGGATCCATCATCCTGGTCTAATTCTGTAGCTGATTCTGTCTCTGAGGTCACCTGGTCCTCATCTGCAGGTCCATGCTGCAACAATCGTTCTTCATCTTCATCGCTGGCTGTTGACTTCCAACTAATCCGTGCTCTCTTGGTCTTCGGCTGATGATTTGGAGTCCCGTTCGTCAATACGTCGTTCTTCGATCTAGACGCTTTCATTCGCAACAAGCTTGGAGTTTCTGATTGTTGCGAGAAAATGGGAGATCAAGACTCGAGACAGCAGTCCGCAAGATTGGGCTTCTACTTTTTGGATATTTTTATTTGATGTGGCTGCTTCGACAGGAAAATCCTATGTGGTTACGTGTTTCTATGGTCTGTATTAGCTGCAACATTTGCAGGATGCATACATGATTTCTGTGGTCCAGGCTCTTCGACACTGTTATTGTGGACGTCATTTTATTGTGCACTTTGTGCACAATTGTGCACAAACAATTGTGCACAAAATGCACAATACAATTCATCGCAATCCACTACATATTTCACGCCAGTTGGTTCCAAACAAATCCTACTTCATTCTTCGGTGTTCATCTTTGTGATGGTGGTACCTGAGGAGGACAGGACACAGGTCAAATTGTAAGTAACCGGACGAGTTGCGTTGCTTTACCTGGAATTTGAGATTCCAAGACCATCTTTCGTGCCAGTTTCAAATCAGCCGATGACAATTCAGGAATCACAGCGACCTTGGGAATGCCACCAGTCATACCACTCTATTACGCAAGATTTTCAAGTCAGCCCCAAAGCTGCAACTCCAGTTGATATGTAAATGCTTGTACCTTCATCTTCTCATACGCAATAGCCATAGATTGTCTGGGATTTGGTATTGGACCGAGTCGGCAGTGACGAGTATCAAGGACATACGAGGGTCCATTGGTCATCCATCATGAGTTTCATCCAATTGACGAAGAACACGAATTGTAAGTTTGAGACATGTTGTGTTATTGTTGGTTTGTTGGGTGTTGGGTATTGACTCTTTGTCTTTTTGCTCTAGTCAACACGGCCATGTGTACCATCGTACCATTCTCCCACGCATTCGAAACCTAGATCTCTGGGCGTTGGAACATGATGTTATCCTCTGGTGCGATGAGCAAAGGCTCGAAAACTTTCGGGGTTGGAGGGCTCGCAGCATACAAGGCACTGAAGAGGCTGCCAACATCTTAATTGCCAAACTTGAAAATGCAATTGGGCTAGGCCGTGACGATTTCTTCGTTATGGGCCAATAAGTAATCACCTGAACAAAAAAATATGGAGGGGAGACGGGGGAGGAGAATAGAAATAATAGACGTATAATCACCAATAGCAATTGACACTCGCATACATACTTTAAGCCGGTTCGACAAATCCTGACACAGTTTCATGCCCTCCGTCATTCACAATTCACTTCTGCGGCGGAAAGGATATGTTGTTGATGTCACGAAATCTAGACGGCTCAAACATACATTGGCGATTCCAGAACTGCAAGATGCTAGAATATGGCGTTTCAAGAACAGCATCTCTCCCCGAATACACACTTACATTGATGGAGATGACTCTGTTGCACCTCACCACTGAAGGTTTACGGTTTACTTTCATCGCAAAAGTAAACTTCTACGAGGAGTAAAGAGAGGTATCCTCGTAAATACAGAAATTTGGGTAATAGCTTCTGGGGAAGTGCTGTTCTTTTCTTTCACAAACGGAATCCTCAGTGAGCGACGATTGCATTCGTCAAGAATATGGAAACATCAGCTAATTTCATTAAGGAACCTCTTTATCAAATACATAAACACGCAATCTGATTGTAATTGTACACAGGATGGCCACCTGTACGGTCTCCATGAGAGTGTCGGTCGGCGTCAACGTTGTCTAAGCGGAAACGCGATTTTCAACACCGGCGGTATGGAAGCTATGTAAGGTGTATTACACAAAAAAAAACCCCTCAAAATATTTTCGGTTCTTAAAGCCTATTGGAGCTAGCTGAAGTTCGATTGTGAGAAGTTGTCTTTCTTTCCTTCCCTGTGTATATTCCTTTTCAAACACGATACCAACACATCTCTCCTGGTCTAATAATTACTGTACAATGCCTCATTCGTTTCCTGTTGAAATAATATATACAAGGGCTGAAGATGCTTACTCTTTCTGCAGAAATGATTCTGGAAGAAACTGATACTCGACACTCAAAGGCCAAATCTTGACTTCTTTGCCTCCATCATAACCCACTCCAAACACTTCACCTTCTTTCGTAATACTCTTCTTGAGCAAATTTAGAATAGCATCACCAAAAGCAAGACAAACGTTGGCGTCCCATGATTCTGCTTGAAGCACACTACGTGCCATTCTGGGTATATTTTTTGTCTCATAAGTTTCTACAGACTTGACCTACAGTAGGAGTGGTGAGACAACATATATAAGAGGAGGCAACTGTCTGCAAGAATACGTACAAGGCCGTTGTCATCTCGAAAAGCACAAAGGACGACAGGTACACCAGCGAGAAAGGACTGCAACCAAATTTTCATTAGCTTGTGTCTACAATGTAGATTCAGCTGTTCAGACACGGGTAAAAAGCCGTTTGTATTCGACTTTTTAATGTTGAACGAACCTGTGAAAAGACGTCTTCCCTCGAAAATCAGTGATGATCCTGCTAGTTTTCAGCTCTGCATATACAGTCTGAGGTGACTGTGTAGGCTTCTCCGGACTCATCATACAATCCACCTCGCCACCCAATAATAAGGACGTTTCTCCCAGCTTTGTCTAAACAAAAAGCAAGGCTCAGTATTGTACCCGTGACTGTAATTTGCATTTTCAGTTTGGCATACCTTGAAGATCGAGCAATACTGCTCATTGGTATTGATGATGCTATTCCAGTCAGTGCTTGTAGCATATTGTTCAAACTTGTATCCAAAATACATGAATCTCTTGTCCCTATCTGTGTTGCCGCCTTTCGATGATGCTGTTATGAGCTCAGATATATAGACCGTACCCTTCCATCGAGTTGCAACAAAGGTATACTTGTCCGTGCTGTATGGAGTTGCGCATAGCTTGGTCATGATTCCGCGCCCTATGAGAGAACATGTTAGCAGCGTCTTTCCAGCAGGTAATCCGTTGTTGCGAGGGCTTACAAGTACAAATAGCTGGAGGATTTGGCAGCTTTGAAGGGTTGCAGGTTTGCACAAACGCATCCAAGTGCTCTGCGACCACGGCTTGCTGAACAAGACCGTCAGGGAATCCTATGCTCAGGTCGTATGTCTTTTGTTTCAGATCCAGAGGAATAAATGGCTTCTATAAGACAAAACAAGGTGTCAAACATGTCGCAGCAGTGTTGATGTCAACTTTAAAACACAGCTTGAGCTTACTAGACCCTCTGAAGAATTAACGTGGACTTGACGTTCTCCATCATAGGTGAAGCAGGCGACCTCCGTAGGCTGCTGATAGACGACTTGTCGCTGGTATTGAAACTTGTTTGTTGGCAATGTTGCGATTGCATTCGTTGCGCCAGGAGCAGGCAGCTCAGTGAGAACTGTTCTGCGTTTAGAAGATGGCTCTGATGAGGCTAGCATGGGGGAAGCTGCTCGCTTCATTATACGGGAAACAATGTCAAATACTGAACCGAGTCGTTGCATGTTAAACAACTTCTGCTTGATGCAAATCACCTCAGCAACGCGTCGTACATCCTAAAATATTCAATTTCTACCTGATTCGCGTCGTCCATGTTTCTTCTAGGATGCTGAACGCCTGCTTCAAGTTTGAAAGTTCATTCGTCAAGCTTGCCGTACTTCGAGTCTATACTTTTCGGAAAAGAATGATCTGAAACGAGTCAGCTTACTTCACTACTGGTACGAAACTGCCCTCTCTAGGCCTGGCAAGATCTTGCCTTGTTCTTCAATTGCACTCGAACGAAAAGAATTACAACTTCAAACTCTGACGCTTTTTCTCATATCATAGTCACGAAATGGCGTCTATTTTCGACTCAGAGGTGAACTACTCACTTGGAGTGCTTACTTCTTGTCCTCTTTTTGCTCCCGGTCTTGCATTTACAGCAAAGATCAACTCATGATTTCCGTCTTTTTCAGGAAGGATCTGACAAACTGGGTGAAACTGCAGTCATCTTTGCGGCCCTGGGTGCTACCATTGGCAGTGGAATCTCGCTATGGAGCATGGCAATGCATCTAAAAAACTATAGGAGGCCCGACTTGCAACGTGCCATCCTGCGAATCATATGGATGTGAGTCTTTTGGTGACATGAACCTCTTGATGCAACACAGTCATTCATTGTCAACGGTCGACCTTGATGCAAAGAGAGTTCTTCCATTCGCTTTTCCCCTGTTCTTGAACTGATCAGGGAACTTATGATTTCGTTAGGGTGCCAATCTATGCTATTGCCTCATTCACATCACTATCGTCAAGGTATCTCTCAGACTACATAGATACCATTCGAGATGTTTACGAGGTATGTCCGCTTTTAGCACTGTCGCTCATTCCTTCTCACTCGCATACACACCAACACCATTCATCCAGGCGTTCGTGATTTACACGTTTCTTACTCTGCTAATAAACTATCTGGGAGGAGAGCGAGCCATCATGTCTTTGATGGAAACTCGCATGAGAACTCATCATATGTGGCCATTCAGTCTGTGTCTTGACCCTCTCGATGTAAGAGAGTATATGAGTGCCGATTATCTTTCCTTTTCTAAGCTCTCGTGTCTTCCAATAGGTATCAAATCCACAGACATTCCTTTTAATACGGCGCGGTGTATTGCAATTTGTCTTGATTAAGCCAGTGCTCGCCCTCCTCATCCTACTATTGAAAATATCCGACTCGTACCATGAGGGTTACATTAGTTGGACATCTGCTTACATGTGGATTAGTTTGATATATAATATGTCTGTCTGCACTGCCATGTACTTTTTGATCATGTTCTATTATATATGCTCCAAGGATCTACAGCCATATCGGTAAGCTGCAGATTTGCATAGGCTAGGATCTCAAGAGCTCACACCTTTTTGCCATCATCTTGTAGACCATTGCCGAAATTCATTTGTATAAAAGCCATCATCTTCTTCTCATTCTGGCAAGGCCTAACCATCTCCTTCTTGGTTGCCCTGGGAGCAATCCGAGCAAGTGAGTGATTTTGGGAACATTTTCTGTCTCGAATTCCATATCTAACACACAATCATTGTAGAGGGAGTCTACGACGCAAATAACATTGCTGTCGCTCTGCAGGATTTCCTCATATGTATTGAATGCGTAGGATTTGCTCTAGGACATTGGTATGCCTTCTCATGGAAGGATTACACTTCATCACGACTGTCGTCACGTCTACCACTACGACACGCTTTAAAGGACGCTTTAGGTGTACGTGACATAGTGATAGATTGGCGTCACACATTAAGAGGCACAACCTTCCACTCAGGACCACGACTGACTCGTAGCCATCTATTCGAACGAGAATTAGAAGATGGTGAACGAGACTTTGTATTAGGTGGTAATCAACGAGCCTTCTATGATCCAGATACTTTCAACTATGCAACAAGGAGGAATTACAATGACTCGATATATGGAGATGCATACTCGGATGAAGATGCCACAAGTCTAGATTTCCCAGATCTGGATCAAGATCCTGAACTGGAATCCACATACGAGAAGGCTCGAGACTTGCTTTATGGAGACTATAACTACCCTCCTCTCCCTGAAGAGGGCTTTAGGAATCCTCCTCTTATTCAGGAACGAATCGATGCAGCCCGAGGGCGAATATCACAGATATTTGAAGGGTTTCAGACGGATGCAGCTGCCAAGAAGACCAGTGAAGAAGCACAGAGAGGGGCTGCGAGATTGAGTAGATCTCCTATGCAAAAAGTGGTAGATCCGTTTGCTGAACTGGCGGACGAGGAGCCCTTTAAAGGTGATGAAGGGGAGGAGGCAGTGGCTAGTGAGGAAGAAGATGGAGGCGAAGATACCGGCTTGCTGGGCAAAGGGAAGGGCCGAATATAGTGCTGTGACATGTATCGTTGATATTGTTTTGTTGTAGACATACGGTTTTCATATATAGCTATCGTTTTGTATACCATCACCGTGAATGCCACGTATTAGCAATGACACGGAAGAAGACTCCGCAGATGTGTTTGAAGACGCATTAGCATTGTTTGGGACGCTGAGAGTTAGCTATGCGGGAGCTGGACGTCCCTATATCTTTAAAGTTGGTGAAGCCCCGTATACAGTTAAACTGCCCAGAGTCAATAAGAACGAGGGACCTCTACAAGCTGAATATCTATGGCCTTCATCATTATGTCTGGCGGATGAAATTGTATCGGGAAATGTAAATGAACATTTACCGGGCTGCTGGCACCGTGAACGCCGTGACATCAATCTAACATGTCTGAGAAATACTAATGGCTTACACAGTTTTCAAGTAGGTCTGTCTGAAGGGACTTCGAGTATGCGAAACAGGTGCTGGTGCTGGCCTGCCATCAATCCTCGCTCTTGTGCATGGTGCTTCGTTCGTGTTGGCTACAGATTATGATTCGCAGCCGATTATCGAGACATTACAACACAACATGGAGGAGAATGTGGGACACATGAGTAATTGGCGCGTTATGGCACACTCATGGGGTGATTTGAAGTCCATTGATTCCTTGCTTCGAGCCGGGTATGTCTTATTCTGTGGTTGCTCCACGACTTTCACGGCATTGGCATCTGACAAAGCACTCTATAGATCAGATAGTCCAACCCCCTTCGATCTAATCATAATGGCCGATACGATATGGATGTCTAAAACTCATCTGGACTTGATTGCATCACTGGATGCACTACTCGCCAAACAAGGCACAGTAATCTTAACCGCTGGTCTACACACTGGCAAACCAACTGTCGAAGCATTTATTCGTAAAGCTCGTGACGTGGGGCTCGTGGCTACGCTGCTCAAAGTCAAAGAACGGAGACAAGATGGGGACGACGTTTTGTTTGATGATCGGCCGTTACAAGAGTTTTTGGAGAAGGACTATGAGGGAGAAGACCGTAAGACTGTTGTTATGTATGAGCTCACACGAAGTGGTTGAAAGTGTTGGTAGCGGTAAAGGTTCCGAGAGCGCCGTTGTGGAGACTCTTGTTTTGCTGGTCAGTAGCCACCACCTTCCAATCTGAACAGATATGCACAAACTCCAGCATCCTAGGTCGGGCCGCTAGTCTCCAGCTGAAACTCTGTCCATACGGTGGATATATATATTTTGTGCACAATACATACATAGTAACAGTTCAAGCAAGTGGACCTTCAGAACAGTCATTTATTTACTCTTCAGTTGTCGTCTTGGTGGATCCAGGAATTTGAGATTCCAAGGACGTCTTTCGAGCCTGTGTTAACTCTGCAGTGGATATTTCACGGATTGCAGCGATTTTGGGGATCGCGCCAGTAATGCCGCTCTATATCAAAAGATTTGAAATCAGTTCTCAACTCAGATTAACGAATGGCAAGTTACTACGTTTACCTTGATCATCTCATACGCAACAGCCAAAGATGATTTATCCTGGATTTGGTAGTGGACCGAGTCGGCAGTGACGTAGACCAGCGACATACGTGGGTCGGCAGGCCCGCCGTCATGAGTATCGTCCAATTTACCAAACCACTCCTACGTGGGTTGTGTGTCAGAAAAAAGCCTACAAGGCAACAAGAAAAGCACCAAGCGATTGAGTTTGAATCCAAGACATACTTGCAACTCAGGCGTCCAATAACGTGTAATCAAGGCACGATCATTCTCAACTCGTGCAGTGCCAGAGATTGAAACCCATTCCTTAGTCTTTTCACGATAAAAGCTGAGTGCTACGTGAGGGTCGTCTGTAAAGTCTGTCATCTATAAAATTTGACAATCAGATTAGAACGGCACCAATAACTTTGATGTATCCGATACTCACTTTTCCAGTTTGGTTGTTGGTAACAAAGACAGTATCTCCACACTTGCCACATTCTCGGACACTCATGGCTCGAGATACGAGATGGCCGTCACTTGTTCGAGTCTAGATAGCACAAAGTTAGAGATACTCCACTGTCATATGCAGCGGTCACTTGAACCGAACGGTCTGCAAACTCACAGTCATCATGGCGACATTGATTTCAGTAATGAGTTTGTGAAGATCTTCAAGTTGCTATTGAGAAAAGAACAAAGTCAGATTTCGATATCAAGCTGAAAACATTATACGCCACTAATACCTTCGAGATGGGCGTGTCAACATCCAAGTTCAACTGCTTGGTCGCATCTCCACCTGAAGGAAGTACAGAAGATTGGCTGGTAGCTTTCAACGTATTGGTTGATCCGAACTCAGCAGACATTGTTGTTATTGTTCTTGTTTGGAGATTGTTGTTTGGTTGAGCGGAAGTGTGTTGTTGGAATCAAGATCGTGAGACAGCAAGGTTTTAACGCGTTTAGGTTAGAGTTGTAAAGCTTAAGTTACAGTTCCTCGAGCGACCGTGAGACGTTTGAAATAAGCACGTTAACATTCAAATCGCGTATGTACTGGTTCTTTTCGCGTTCTTGTCCATGTTCGATGTAAGTATCGCGTTAGAAACTGAATGGTTGACTTTTCAAATTTATCGCAGAAAGACAGTATAAAAACCGAGATGGAGCACTACGGCCAGGAAAAAGAGATCTGTGATTCTCTTAAGATGTGCGTAGCCTCTTGCGTTCTCAAATTCGAGGTGTTCAAGGTGTAACGACTATGGCTGCAACCGCAAACGAGCAAATAGTGATGGAGGAAGTACGAAAGCGATGTAGACAATGTTGACTCTCTACCTCTCCCATAAATAGCCACAACTGCAGTATCTACTATCGGGTAATTCAATCCCACGTCACAACATTGCTGGATGGGCTCGCTCGCTGTGATGCGCGGCGTATTGTCACCAACAGGGGATGGCGCGATTGTATCATACCGGGCACTGAAGAGAATGCAGACCGTTTCATTGCAAGGGTCCCAGTAGAAGCTGGCCGGCCCCGTGTTGAATTCATAAAAATTGGGCATAAGTCTTGTAAGGGTTGAGAATGATGGAGGGAAGGGGGTTTGCGGTAATGGTGGTGCCGAGATAATAAATTTATGACAGTTAAATGCTTTGAATGCGCTAGATCAGCGAGCTTTGGAATTGGTTCGGAGCGTGTGTTATCCATAATTCGATTTTGCGTCGTCCAAAAGATTTGCTGTTGATGTTACGAAACTCCAAGGTCACCCCAACTTTGAAGATTTCTAGCACATAGTTAGCAGGTAGTTAGCAAAGAGAATTGATGAAAATCCTTGTTGCGATGATTACATACCGTAACCGGGTGGTCTCAGTTCCAGGTTTCAGAAGACAAATAGTGCAAAGATGGAACTCAAGGAGTCCTAGCGACCAATAGTTTCGCAATTTGCTATTATTATTCATTTTGCTTTGGGGCCAAAGTACTCCCTTCCTTGCACACTTTAGCTTGCAATTGAACGGCGGCTGATATTCCTTAACAATGTTGAAAATCTAACCTAACTCCCTTCAAGGTACCCCCATGTCAGATACTTATACATATAGTTCCGTTCGCAACGGTAAAGGATGGCCACCTGTACGGTCTCCATGCAAGTGTCGGTTGGCGATAAAGCTGTCTAAGCGGAATTGGTGAGTTTCAACGCCGTCGAGATGCAAAATACCCCCCAACAATATTTTGCCCTGCTTAGCTCTGATGGAGACCGCTTGAGTTCGATTATGAGAACAGTTCCTTTGCTTTCCGTTGTGTATGTATACTATATTTTTCTGCACTCTTCCCTTTTTCAAATTGCTACAAATCTTAAAAGCTTACAGAGTCGAGCATAGAAGCCAGGCACTGGACAATATTGGTGGTCATGAGCTCTTGGCCCATTTCCTCCAGATGACGTTTAGGATCCTGTTTACCAACGTGTCGAGTCTTCAATTGCTCAGGAGTGAGTGTGATTTCTTCAATGACAGACTTGTTGTAAGATTCAGCAAGAGTCAACATGCTCTAATTTAAACCGAAAAATTGTTAGAATTCTTTACAACTTGGGTCCTTTTTTTGCACTTTCAGTCACAAACCTTGACTGCCTTTTCATTCTGTTCAGAGTGCTCATTAAAGTCTGTCAGGATGAGACCTGACGTCCATGTCTTTTTGTGCAAGTTGAGCAACATCTTTTGTTCCAATTCATTCTTTCGATAATTTATGGCAATCGAGTAATAGTGTCTGTTGAGCCCATGAATCAAAGCCTATACAGTATTTGCATTAATATTTGTTATAGACAATTGATGCGGAGCAAACGCCCGACAGACAAAAAAGGACACAGTAAGTTTACCTGAATGCTTGGCTTGTTCAAGTGACCAATGTTGCTGGTAGTTTGACGAGGCTCTTGTTGCATCATGAGAGACTGAGGATTTATGAGACGGAAGGCGTCTATGACGACTTTGCCCTTGACGGATTGAATAGGATCTACTACTACAGCTACAGCTCGTTGATGCAATTGTTCGAATGATTGTTGGGTTTGTACATCGACTGAAGACAACCAGCAGCCAAAACCAGGATGAGAGTGATACCATCCGACGACTTGTTCTGGTCTATCATGTCATGCAAATGTGGGTGTTAAAAAACCCCCGAATCTGGTAGGCACATGCATGATGGGAAACCCCATACCTTCCAGTTTGTTTCAGCATATCCAACATTTTGGTTTGAAAGACGGGATCTACAGCTTCGACTGAGACCCCAGTTCCAGATTGTGGCATGGCGAATACATCAATAACTCTGACAGTATAATCATCCACAAACTCTCCCAACATCAAACCCATGACTTCCATAGGCACACCGGCACGTCCTGTATATCGAATTATTTAGATTTAGATATCAAACAACCAAGAACGGATTGAAACACAGTAACGCAGTTTTTGCATACCGTGTTTGAGCATCTAAGAAGAGAATTACAGTCAGGATACGAAAAGAAATAATAGAAGCACATGCTATTTTAATACCTTGAGTAATGCCAGTGAGGATATATGCACCATTTCAGCGGTATCGACTGTTGGTTGATCCAATCTAAATGTTGGATGTTTGATGAGATTTTGTTGCATAGGAGACAATCGTCGAGACGGAGAGCAGCAATCATTCAATCAAACCAAGTATTATAGAGGGAATTTAACTCACCCTGGCTGCATCTGGGCAGCACCACCCGTTTGTCCGAACAATCGTTGTAATCGCTGTCATTTCGGATGAAGACATGTTAGTTCTAGGAAGAACAAGAGCATCGAGCTATCTAAAAAGCAGCTATTTTACCTCCATAGTTTCCAATAGAAAGGACTTCGGGTTATTCTGTTTCAGTACAGGGTATGCTCGTCGTTTGTCAAAAGGTGACGCGTCAATGAGACCACGGTGATGAGGAAGAGCTGTTTATTTGTGCTTGATTTATACAAAAGGTGCTAATTCGCGTAGAAACTCTATTCATATGTTGTATAGTCGAGAGGCAGATAGGGCTCATGTTGATCGACGCTGCTTAACATGTCGAGGGCCTATCAGAACGACAAACTCTTGTTAATACAGCAAATGGAGTAAGCTACATATTATTATTACTACGTACCCGTTGCGTTCCATATTCTGATCCACGTACTTTGACTGAATAACATGCTAAAAAAGGGGAACTGAGCTCTGACCCATCCAAACATGCAAAATCACTCACCATCTTCAACTTTCTTCAACGAATTGCGCATCTCATTCATCTTCCTTCGAGCGGGTGGAAAGTCGAGAATCTCAAAGTCTGCCTTCAGCTGTCGCAAGAATTGACACACTTGTAAAGCTGTCGACGGGCTTCCAGACACCAATCCATTTATCGCAAGCCGCATCAGTTCTCCAGTCAGATCCGTTATGCCCAAAAGATAGTCCTCTTCTGTAATTTGCAGAAACTAGGCGAAAAAATTCGGTTGTGGGTCGTGACAAAAAAACACATTTCAATCTACTCTAATCGCTTACAGGCGTTCCATGTTCATCAACCAACTGGGCATTGATATCTTCACGTTTCACAAGTTCTCCAGATTCCAGATACACAAGAAACGACACAGCTTCAATATACTCTTCCAATCCAGGCTGAACTGCAAACTTATGTCGATAGAAATCACTTCCAGTGAGATCGACCGACACGCGTCTCAGCAGCTGAATGATTTCCTGCTGCTTGGCCTTAGCCTCTTCCAATACCGAGTCTCGTGTCCTTATATTGCATCGATGCAACAAAAAGATGAGTCTCTTGCTATAGATCGTAACATCTCTGCTGATTTTGATAATACGTTCTCGTCTATCATACTGGTAAGAAAGTAAGCGATCTGCAAATACAAGATGAGTAGTTCAAAAGACGTACAGTATCGTCAAGAACTTCACGAAATTCACTAAACAGTGAGCTAATTTCATTTGAGGTCACGTTTTGATGTTGAGCATGTTCTGGTGTTGTTGAGCGTTCAGAGTAAGAAGAATTCATTCCACCACCACGAGAGCCTCCACGATGATATGATCCACGACCACGCCCTCTATATGCTGAGGTCTGGCCTCGCAAAGGAAGAGCTCCTGAGATTTGTTGTGGTTGAGGAGCAGAAGCCCGAGGACCTGCATGTGAACGAGCGAGGCGTTAGAAAACACTTCGACATATAGACTAGGAACGGCCATACCTTCATTGTTGTTGTCTGTATCCATGTTTCTCTTTATTGCGAGAACAAGCTGTAAGCACGCTCAGGTCAAAAGGTGCAGCGGGTATATCTATTTTTTCTTCGTGTATATGCAATACATTTTATACTATAGCTATATCGAATCTAACGTGTACATCCAATCCAAGATACGCGTCACTCATTAAGGAGATACCAAATGTTTTACGCGTTCCTGGTTCATCAGGCACCGTAAATTCAACACTGGTACTTAATCGACCATCTTTGCTTACTCGTTGAGGTGCTACCCCTTGTTCAGTATCACCAGCACCACGTCCACTACCACTGGGAGAGACACGTTTGATACCAATTAGCTCATCAGCATCAGGCTCACAGAGCAGCGCCCACCATCCTTCATATTGTGGTTTTGGGAATTTGGGTGTGTATGTACGGTAATCCATCACGTTGCTTCCCGACAAGGATCGATACGGACGATGTCGAGCAGCTTCAATCTTGATAGTATACGATTCACCGGCTTTCAATACTATTTCTCCTGTTTCAAGTTGTTTGGTTCCATCAATACGATATCGGATATTCATACTAGGCATGCTCGTGATTATACGAACAATATCCTGGATGTGTGGAGGTGATAATGATGGGATTCGTTTGAAGATATTGGTAATATCAGCTTCAGACAATTGTAGTAGCTGGCTGATTTTAGTTACGGGTTGTTTCTTATACTGTAGCGATGAGATCATATCGGGTGTAATACGTGGAAGAGTCAGCAAGGTCGAATCTGTGGGCCATCGAGCTTGCTTTATACATTGCATCAACTTCATAACTCCTTTTGTGGTAGCAAGATATCCTTGGTCTGCGCTCACATCAACCATAGCTTGCATCACTAGATGATGGCAACAATCAGAGTTGAATTTGCAGAGAGAAAAGCAGAGAGAAAACGAGCGGGTATGAAACGGGAAAATACGTCAATGCTTATATGACCCATACCACGGATAGATTGATCAAGAACAGATACCAAATCAGTGGCATAATCAGCGATGGGGAAGGAAGTCATTCGTGTCAAATGAGCTTGCATTAACAAGAAGACCTTCAAATGAGGACTGTCATAACCTAGTACTTGTCGAGGTCCACCGAATGAAGATTGGCCCTTCTTCAATGGATCATAGCCATGGACAGGAAGCATGGCTTCCATTTCCTGATTGTGATGGTCCTAAATGGAGAGATGATAGTTGAGAAGCCATGCTGCCAAAAAAGCCCATAAGTAGGAACGTACTTCGTTATGTCGAACAGGATGCTCATCATATTCAGACACATCACTCAGTATTCTCATCATCCTCGAAAAGTCACCATCATGATCTTCTGCTCGTCCAGTCGCTCGATAGTCACGAGTCAACCTCTTTCTTAACAAGTCGACTGTACGGTATTGAAGATAGTAATATGAAGCAATGCGACCTATTACAGTTGGTGTGATGAAGAATTGACTTTGGACATCACAGCATCCAGCCTCTGCTAGATCGGTAATGGTCTTTTCCACTACACCAGACAAGAAGATGTTGATGCTATGTGCATCTGTAGTTTCAAGGCCATAGTATGTAGGGTTCTAAGAACGAAGAGAAAAAAATAGGACCTCATCACCATCGAATAAACCAAGAGGTCTTACCATTGGTAACCGACGATAAAAGTAGGTCCATGTCAAGAAATCGACAGCATCCTGTTTCGACTTGATGGTACCAGATACAATTTCAGCATTGAAATGATCATGTAAACATGAATGTAAGCTGCTTTCGACTGGGAAGGGTTCATGCAAGAATTTTTTGTAAAAGTTCTTTTTGACGTCATGCACCAAGATCACAGCTACTCCAGAATCGTCGAACTGAGGTCTTCCAGCTCGACCCATCATTTGCAAAACATCTGTTATGGGGAAATCTACATATGCATGTTTCTTGGCATCAAAGAACTCGGTTCCTTTGACTACTACGAGATGGGCAGGGAAATTGACGCCCCAAGCTAGAGTACTGGTTGCAATCAAGATTTGAATCTTGTTGTTTACGAATAGCTCTTCTACTGTTTTACGATCCGAGTCAACCAATCCAGCATGATGAAGACCAATTCCGAAGCTAAGCGACAAACGTAATGCTGGATCTCGAATTTGTGATGATATGTTGTCGAGATCGTTTTCAGATATCTTTAGGAAGCGACGTGGATTATCGTCTGCAGCACAGAGCGAGATCAAGTCTTGAGCTGTAAGACGTGTTTGACGACGAGAGGATACGAATACGATTACAGGCTTGGTGGGAGAATGCGTCATAATAGCAGCATATGTCGGTTTGTTCATCGACATCATTCTGGGGCAATCTAAAGTTGAGACAGGAAAAACTTTTGATGAAAAAGTGTCGAGATGAAAACAAAGGTCATAAATACGACATTGATATACCAGCGCGAAAAGAATCAACTAGAGTTTCCTTTCCAAAATCAACTTACAATGCTTGCCCGGATACCCCTCAATATAAATATCCAATGGCACAGGTCGTACTGAATGCCTGAAGTTGAATAATCCTACATGCTTGATACCCAACCAATCACCCAAATCATGAGCATTGGCCAAAGCAGTCGACAATCCCACAATCCTGACTTTACGTTGCGTTTGACTAGCTATATAGTTCATACGCGATACGATGATTTCCAGAATGGGGCCACGTTCACCTCCCAACAAGTGAATTTCGTCAATAATGACTAGCCCTACTGAAGTGACATATGATCGAGATTTCCAGCTACGAGAGATACCATCCCATTTTTCTGTGATTAAAGTAGCCAGGTGTGAGTGAGACTAGTCACCAGAAACCGAGAGTAGCAAAGCAACCAAAACAAACGAGATGCAAATTACCTGGGGTCGTGATGATGATGTCTGCTTCCTCAATAGTACGTAAATCAGGAGTTACATCACCAGTCAGTTCGACTAGACGACGGTTCATGGGACCGGTAAGACGCGCTCTCCAATCACTCACACGCTCTCGTACCAACGCTTTGAGAGGAGCAATATAAACCACCTTGGCAGTTGGGTTATCTCGGAATGTTGCCCTATATTTTGTTATCAATAGAAGTCGCTATTTTCTCTTGCTTGACACAGCTAAACAGGGTTTTTGATTCGAGACTCACCACATAGCCAATTCAGCAGCAACTGTTTTTCCAGAACCAGTGGGTGCTCCAACGAGTGCATTGTGATCCGTATGATACAAGGTATGGAAGATTTGCGTTTGCACGGCGTTGAAATAATCAAACCGTTTCTCACAAATAGCTTCTAATACTGGATTTTGCAATGCTGATACTGGTAATGGTGATAAATCCAACAAGTCGGTTTGTATAGATGCTTGTAACGACGGCAGAATCAAGTGTTTGAACGAGATTGGAACAACACACTCTGCTCCAATCCACTTGTCTGATATGGCACGGACAAAGATTTGTGGCGGTAGACCATCAGTAGTCGACGATACAGAAGGCAGTGGTATAGTGAAGCCAAGCTTTTGAGTTTCACGTTGTTGTCGTTTGGTGAGTAGGAAGTATTCGGAGTGCAGGATCTCGACATTTTCAGCATCTTCAATCCATATCCACCAGGGCTCTGCTGTGCCATGCACTCTATCGTTCCAAGTAAAGTCTAACATTTTTGAAGAGTTGAATGAAAACCGGAACGACCAAAAACCGGAATAACCAAAATAAGGATGTCGCAACCATGCAATTACCTGGAGTGATATACAGAGTAACTCTCAGCACTGTCCTGGTAATGGGAGCTACACTGGCTTCGATATATAACGTCGGAAACTGGTCCACACATTTGGCAACAGTGGGTGCCATCTTATTGTGTCGAATGATATTGCCCAATTCGACAACATCCATATCACGCATAGATTCCAACGTCATGATTTTAGGAGAATTCTCCATCTTTTGAATTATTTCCATCGGCAAATCAAATTGAGCTAATGGGTGCTCGAACGACCACATTCTACGATCTACTGATTTTGACAAGGAGAGAATTACAGCTGCTGTTGGACCCCAGCTACGATTCAAGGCGATTTCAAAACAGGCACGTAAGATACGTGCTGCATTTTGAGCGACATAGGCTGTATCCGATACCAAGGCAAACTCTTCGATTGTGAGTTTTGACACATATGCTTGTAACAAGATGTTGCTCTTTCCATAGTTGGTATCAACGCTTCCCTACACATAGAGTGACTTTTCAATATTCGTGAAAGTTTTTTTATGCACTGATTCTTGTTACCTTGACAGCACAAACACACTCTTGCTCCAAATTCTGCAACGAAGTCATCTCTTCCTCTCTAACTCGAATGTTCTCAAACTCACTACTCATACTAATCATACTCAATACATCGGCTTCAGACATACGAGGTCTCATCATGGTATTGAATACTTCAATGGTTGCACTTCGAATATAGAAACTACTAGCAGTTCGTCCCAAATCTTTGGGAGTCAAATACCCTGTTCGTTCATCAAACACAATCATTTGTGCTTTATGTAGTGATTTCGATGCTGATATGATGAGTTCTCGTCGACGAGATCCTAGTAATGGATCATCTTGCAGCTGCTGCCATTCCAATCCGTAGTGGAAGGGATTCTTCTTCATTCGGACATACAAGTACGTGTATGAGAGCCATTTGACGGCTTCATCCAGATTTGTTACTGTGCCAAGCGAGATTTCGGCGTTGAGATTGTCAGTCATGTTCGTAGCGAATTGAGATTCGATTGGATGCTGTTGGGTCATTGCCGAACTGCAAAGTTGAGAAAAAACAGGTGAGCAAAAAGCACCAGATCTCGAAACGAATGGGGGTTGAGCCCCAATTGGAGAACGTACACATAATGGGACAGCTTGTCATGAGATGTGACAATAGTAGCATCACCATGGTCTTCGTATTGTGGTCTACCAGCTCGACCGAATATCTATTTAGGAAACAGTAGATTAGAATCGACAATGAAGCTTTTCTCTTGCTGAATTTTTTACCTGGAGTACATCGAGAATGGAGAGGTCGATGAATTTACCCTTAGCTGAATCATAAACTTGAGTGCCTTTGATGATCACAGCAAACGCTGGAAGATTGACACCCCAAGCAAGCGTTGCTGTACAACACAACACCTACGAGTAACAAAAAATGTCAAAGAACACCCTACTTCATACGCAAACCGACGATCAATTACCCGAATGAATCCTTTCTCAAAGTACTTCTCCATCATGTTTCGATCAGATCGCAACATTCCTGGAAGTCGAGTCAGTCTATAGGCAAGGTGGGTACGTTAAAACGAGAGAAAAAACGTACCAGCATGATGAATCCCAAATCCTTGTGCAAACAATTCCTTCATTTCGCGATTCTTGGATTTACTTATATCCTTGACAGCAAGTCCAAAGTTGGTATCATAGGATGGATCAAAAAATTCTGGAAAGCAAAACAACGATTAATAGACACCAACAAAAATCATTAGTGAAACAACATTTAAGAGCTTTACCCATTTTGCCTTCACGAACAGCTTCATCACGCAGCATATACGAAGTCTTGACTGTGTCCTTTCGAGAATGTACAAACACCATAACTTGATGCTTGTCCTTGACCTTGTCCAAGACCTTGTCATAAGTGACATGATTCATGTTTGCTAGAGAGCTAGCTCCTCCAGCTCGTCCCTTGACACCAACAAAATGTTGAGCAAGAGGCACAGGTCTGAAACCAGAGTCAAAGTAAAAGAGTCCTTGATATGGATTGACGCTACATTGACCATATAAGTAAGAATGTTTTTTCCTCTTTCGTAGAAACAATACTTGCCCCAAGAACCGAGCTACATCAACATAGTTTGGCAACGTAGCAGACAATCCAACAATTCGAATTAGCGATTGAGTGGATTCGACCTATCAATTATACCGGGCGTAAGCATTTTTTTAGCTAGTGAAGGAGATCAAGAGAAGAATGAAGAGTTACCTGACGTAATGTTCGGGCAACGATGCTTTCAATAACAGCACCTCGATCATCGTGTAAAAGATGCACTTCATCGATAATCAACAATCGGACTTTCTATAAATTGAAGATTTGTCATGAATGGCAAAAAAAGGGACGTATTTTTTATAAAAAGGCTTACTTGGGCCAACTCGGTATCTCCGACACTCTTACGTGTCACCACGTCCCACTTTTCTGAAGAATAAACGAACAAATCAGCAAAAACACAAGCCACTTGTCTCTGACTTAACATACCCGGTGTGGTCACAATCATTTGAGTAGCACCGATTTCAGCTCGAGTCAATTGCATATCACCTGTTGGAGAAAACAATGACAGTTAGAACAAATAGATTTGTCACGAACAAGCAATCACATTTACCAGTCAGTTCCTTCACGACAAGACCCAGACCACCTTCAGATTCCTTCGCACCCAATCGACTCGAGAACTTTCGCACAATTTCAGCTGCTAGAGCCTTCATTGGTGCAACGTACACAATCTTGAAATCATTTTTGAGTAAATGGCCATCTTTTCGATATTGTTGAAGTGTTCGAAGTACTGTCAACATGGCGACATCTGTTTTACCCTATAAGTACACCTCAATGTCAAGAAGTAGCAAAAAAAGGGCAATAGGATGACCACAATAGTGAAGACTTACAGCACCCGTTGGAGCACAAATCAGCATATTCTCGTTGGTCTGATAGGCAACAGGAAAGACAATTGACTGTACACGATTCAAACTCGTGTAGCCCTTGAAGGCTCGTTTTGACCATTCATCAAGTGTATCGATGAACACCAACTTTTCACCAACTGTAAGCGGTGCTGGTTTACTGAATGGAATCGATATTTCTTCGTGTTCCTGTGTCAAAGATCATGAGAACCACCGAAAAAAGAAAAACAACAACATCACTAGGTCAGACCTTGTAGTCCTTTCGCTCTGACCCGACAGGCAATGTGAACTTGGTGCCAAATGCAGATAGCATAGAGCCTCCAGAACCAGATTGATAAACGTGTGGAAAGACTTCTTGAGGTGCATAGACCGCAGAATTCTGTGGGTTGAGTACAGAGTGTCAGACCAACCATCCAACAGCCGTGCGACATGATAGTTCTTTCCGCTTACCGGATCCAGAACTTGTGGTGCAGACGCAGCGAGTCTCAATTGAGCTTCTCGAGCTTGACGTAGATGTTCACCATCGAATCCAAGCAAAGATGCGTTGGACATGGCATTGACTTCATCTAAACGGATATCGTCGTAAGCCAAAAGCAGTCCTAGTTTGAAAATAAAATTGCAGTACACACCAACAGCCAGTCTCTTTTTCTTTCTGTTCTCCTTCTTGGCCAACTTGGCAAGCTTCTTGTCATCTTCAGACATGATGGTGACTTGTGTGCCATATGACGGTCGAACTACTTGAGCAGGCTTTTCCGATTCAGTAGGAGGCTTCTTGTAGTCGTCCTCATCATCAGAAAATCGTTCTGCAGCCTATTTGATAATCTGGTAAAGACCCTGACAATGCAAAAAAAGCGGGTTTGGAATCGATTGTAGTTCATACACTTTGGACAATAGTATTGACGATCTCTGCACGATGAAGCACTACTGAAGACACAAACTCAAAGTTTGAGAATCCAAGCAAGTCTACCAATGCATTCTGCAATGACGATTCTAAGGCAAAGAAGAATGTGATGTCAAGCCAACATCACGAGATGTGAAATTTGATCAAGTACCCTCAGCGTTTGATCGTAATATTCCAAACAGATCTGTGCATAGTTGTACTGCAGTCATAGCGTCAGACTCAACGTGACTTGCAATATGAGCCTCGCATTGTCTAACACGTAATAGAAAAAGTCAGAACTTCAACGGACTACATCACACAAGCTGGACTTACGAGACAAGCCAATCACGATTGTATGTAATAGCCCGTCCTTGTCCTTCATGGAGCGTTTCGATCGACACATTCAGGTTACGAGGAGGGAGAGCAGGAGGAGACTCGTCAAACGCGTCAGGTGGAAGCATATCGACATCGTCATCGCCCAACCACGAATTGGTTTCAGGTGATGGAACTCGTCGTGTCAGTAAAGGATTTGCGAAAGAGATGTTTCGTGCGTACTCGATAGGTTGAGTGTCTAAACACACGATCAACGTTTGATAAGTTTGGTTGTCTGCCAGACTTGGGAGCGGTAGAATGGCGATTTCCGTAGCTTACGTCGTGGATTTCTAATTGAAATTGTATTTAACATGCAGTTAAATATACTAATCACGTAACAAGAAAGTGCTGAACCGAGCAAAGAAATCACAACTTTGAAAATGCTCAAAAGCAAGATGTTCAGGAATCAGAAAGGAGACTTACTCTCGCCATTGACGCAATGAGGCCCGTAAACCATCCAATAATGTTTCTAGCTCAGCTTGTACGGGCGAATGTGTGGATCCAATATTTCGTTGCTCCTCATCGTCATCATCATCGTCGTCTTGATTCGTTCTAGGATGTGCTAATCTAGATCGAAGAATGTCTGTAAACATCATTCTTCCATGTCCATTGGCTTCTGGGGCCATTGTTGTGAGCTTTCGCTTTGTGATCCAACTCGATTCTGTTGAGAGTGCAGTGTGAGCCAAGATGCAAGGAAATTACCTGTGCGTTTCGAAGAAAAAATTCATGTTATCTATGTAAAATATGAGGCCTTTAGGGCCTTTACCATCAAATCACGTCATGGTTGCGCTTTGAACAAGACTTGGAAGCTCGCTTGTCGCTGAACAGCTCAACGTCAAGGACCACCAAGAACGACTATCTTTGAGAGCTATTGACCATTGATAATCTGCTAACTCTAGAACTGCTGGTGAAGAAGATTGGAACTGCGTCAGCTTTGTGACAATTCCAATTTTCGACATGTCACTTCCAGATCATCTCCATGTGCCAAGTAAACATCGGATATCCCAGGCAGGTGAATTATAGATGTATAGATTAAGTTCAAAGAGTGGTATGCTAACAATACTTGTATATGAGTTTTGTGAGTGTTACGGTTCTAGATGTCACAAATACAAGTAGTTGATCAGTGATTCGCGAATCAAGTTGAAACTCTTCCTTCCTTTGCCAGCTTTGACAAAGTGCTGAACATTTAGACGCCATCACACGGCAACCCCATTATCGCCTACGGGTTGAAGGTTATTGTAAGCAGACCCGAGAGAGAGATCAGAAAGTGGCGAGATGCACCAAGTCTTACATCGATGCAAGTCCCAGGAGCTTCATTTAGATCCGGGAAACAATGTCCTTCTTGATTCTCGTAAGGGTGACTGCTGGGACATCCACAGCTTCCGTTCGCATTCACACCGAATTGACAGTCTGCAGCGGGAACCGTAGGACGTGGATCCCCGCTGACATAGTTTATCGGTAGCAGCGCAAAGGAAATTGACGAGTCCATAGGATTGATACAGCGGGCCTGGCTGTAAACCCAACCCAGACAAGAGCATTGGTTTCGCACACCGTACTTTATATAAAGAAAGAACGTCAGAATGGTGTAGAGGGATGACCAGACATTTACTAGCTTTACCTGATCGTAATAGTAACCATTTTGATTTACGAGATTTTGGTTTCTAACAGCGCCATATCCGACCAGAGAATTACCGATACACACATAAACATCCGAATAGGTGTTGGCTGCATTTTGCTTTACGAGAGTAACTCCCTAGTTGCGATTGAAGAGAGTCAAAGGTTGTAAACGCAGATCAGATTGCCAAAGGGCATTATCACTGTTGATAGAGTCTTGCGATATGTCCCTGACGGACATGGTCCCAATGATGGAAGCTGGCCTGCCGAAGCTACAATTGTTATCGGGCTGACAACAGCAGCAGCTGGACTTGCAGCAGCAGCAACAACAACAGCATCACTGGCAACTGGGCTGGCCTTGGCCAATACGATAGTAGTAGTCTGCGTTAGAGTGCTCGTTGTCTCCACAGTGGCCACCGAAATAATCGCCTGGTTCTGATTATTGGCTAATGACGATGCAGGGCCCGAAGCACCAACCATGGCTGTAGTACTTGCAAAAAGCAGGAGAAATGTTGTCCATTTTCTCCTTCTCGCTCTGTTTGGAGACTGGCTCATTTTTGAAAGATAGCTACGATAGAATTTATATACAGTTAGCTACTCTCGATGCTTCAACTGATTTCTTCTTAATATGATCACACATTGTAACGTCCACCACAACTTGATGTCCCTCATTTTTCAACCAATTGTCCATAATAAACACACCTTAAGAATGGGAAATATGAGGAGTCTAATTGCTGAAACGTATTTCTAATGCATGGTCTACTAGTCAGGTACTAAGTTGATTGGAGTCAGAAAACGAAAGTCAAACGAGCCACCGCTTTCACCAACAACGAAAGAGAGTGTACCCAGAGGAAGGAAGAGAGGCTACTGCGAGATCACTTACTAGAGGAGTCGTGTTGCTGACTCACCACTCATTGATAAATGGGTGGCATTTCACTCGCAATCTAAAATTGTTGACTCCGCTGCGTGACTGTGAAACAGCGGAATGCTACTAGTCTTGAAGCGTAATCGGACATGTTGAGGAAACACATCCAAATGCTACCTTATCGCCTTATCATGATATGAATCTATTACGCCCTTGAAAGGGACGCGTCGACCTCAACGCTACACCCTATAGTAACCTTTTGCTTCAATTACGCAAACCTCAGCAGCATGACAAACAGGTCTCATTCATGCTTCTCGAGTAGTCTTGAGTTCGTTGAACGAATTCAATATTTAGTTGAGGAGTAATATATGCCTGTTGAGGCGTGTTTTATAAATTGAATTAGGTCAAGTAGAATTAGTGCACAGCCATACATCAGAGTCATATCCAGTAGACGTAGTGCACAGGCGTACATCAAAGTCTCGGATTGAATGGAGGCGGCGGTATCAATCTAACACCACTGGCGAGGGCCTCATATGAATTCCCAGTTTGGTCATCATCCAATGCTCGTTCAAAGCACTTGATGACAGTCTCCATAGTTGCAAGAGGCTCCCAAGACTTCTTGAACTTGGGATGGTTACCAACTGGTGATCCCATGTTCGTTGTGGGGACAACGCCAGGACACACGCAATGTACACGTATACCATCTCTGTAAAACATTCCAAGGTTTCTTGACAGACCTACGACACCATGCTTTGAAAGAAGTCAGTGCCTTCTAAAATCATACAAATTCAATTTCTTGTACCTTTGATGCTCCATACATGGCAAAAGAGGTTGGTATACTATACAGCCCAGCAACACTGGCAGTATTTATGATCGTCCCTGCGAACGGACTTTTAGTAGCCAAGTGGTTAACAATGGTCGAAAACTTGATGCTTACCTTTAACGTTGTGTTTGCGGAAATGTCGGATGGCCATGTACGTAGATTCTGCCACGGCTAGAAGAATCATAGTATTAGGACATTCAATTAGGTAACTAAAATTTACATTCTCTCGTTACCTGTAAAGTTCACGTCAATGACCTTCTTCCACGAATTGCCCTCGTCCATAGCCTCACTCGTGATATCAAGATGCATCGGTGACGAAAAGGAGGTCGGGATACCAGCATTGTTGCAAACCACAGATATTGGGCCGAATGTTTTGAAAGTGGTGTCGTACAAGTTCTTCAAATCAAAGGTTTTCGTGACATCAGTTTTCACGTAAATAGCCCTTCCTTTTCCATGACTGCAAGGCTATAACTCAGTTCAATCATCATAAAACGCCGTTAGGCCCGACTCTACACCACACACCGTTTCTCTAGCTCCTCCAACAATTTTGATCCATCGAGCACGATATCAGCTAGAGCGACACTATACCTATATCAATCGACTTTATCTTCAGTGATCGTCATCACGTCCAAACTTGATGTATTACACACGAAATGGAGCAGTCTCGCATACCCACGGCTTAGGAGCATGTTACTGACATTAAAGCCAATGCCATTGTTGGTCCCAGCTCCAGACACAATAGCTACAAGTGGGCTCATTTTGCTTGATTTGCGTATGTGAATTTGGAAAAGCTCTGAGTATCAAATAATTAGGCTTAGAGAGCTCTAGAACTAATTGTACGTTGTCAGTACGTAAAATACTATTCAAACTACGACAAAGCTTACTATAAGGACCGATTGAGCCTGACGTCACACTCTTTCCTTGTATTTCGCAATTCACGGGCAATTCTGCAAAACTCAACAGTCAGCAGCACCTTGAAACGATCTCAAAGGTTATAAGTAGACGCTCCAACAACAATAGTTTACAAAATAACAATGTCAGCCAAAACATTCCGTGGTGTCTACCTGAAGAAGAGCGCACAATCTGGCATCAAACCTCCCAAAGGAGAACGAGGAAACTTGAAGTGGGAAGAAGGTATGTCAGTGCCAAAAAACATGAGCAAAGTGGTCAGGCCTGGCTAGGTTGTGCACTTTGTTCAAAGAATGCCTTTGATCTTCATCGACATCATCGACACATTTCTGTCACACATCTAGCAACTTACCAAACCTCATCACGTACTAGTCAAGGTCGAAAGCAAACCTATTCCCGCAATTCCAGAGGGTCATGCTTTGGTCCAACTACACGCAAGTGCGTTAAACCATCGAGATGTATTCATCAGACAAGTACGTTCTCTTTTCGCTTGCTTACATTACGGGTTAAAAGTTTCGGTTGCGCTAAACTAACCTCTCTTCTAGGGATTGTATCCTAGAATCATCTACGATGTGATCTTGGCTGCCGACGGTGCAGGTGTTTTGGTCGAAGGCGGACCAAAGGAACTTAAAGGTCAACGAGTTCTCATAAACTCAAGTATCAACTGGGACTCAAACCCACTTGGCCCAGAGAACCCTGCTAAATATGAAGTATTGGGTCTACCTCGTAACGGTACCTTGGCCGAATACATTGTCATCCCTTCCAAGAACGTGTTCGCAATGCCCAAGCAATTGAGCTTTGAAGAAGCTGCTGCTATCGTGAGTCTCTTGCTTTCGAATCTTTGGGGAATTTCTAAGTAGTAACTTGCTGTTTTGCTTTTAGCCATTAGCCGGCTTGACAGCTTGGAGAGCAACTTTCTCGATTGGCCAAGTGAAGAAGGGTGATTTGGTGTTAGTGCCAGGAATTGGAGGTGGTGTAGGTAGGAAAAATATTTTGCTGTCTACTGTTACTTTTTGCATTTCGGATGGCAGATGTTAACGTTTTAACTCTACCAGCCATGTTCGCCGCACAATTCGCTATGGCTGCTGGTGCTGAAGTATATGTTACTTCGTCGTCGGACGAAAAGATCCAAAAGGCCATCAAACTCGGTGCTTGCGTGGGTGGTGTCAACTACAAGAACAGTACGTCATTCGATGTATCCACATCTGGTTGTTGTCGCTCATCAAAACTTCAATATGTTCATAGAGGGATGGGCCAAGGAATTGTCTACCAAGGTCAAGGGCCGCATGTGGGATGTCGTCGTCGACGGTGCCGCCGGTACAGACTCATTGAGAGAGTACATGGCTTTATTGAAGTGGGGAGGCGTCTACGTCACGTAAGTTGAATGTTTCGACATGAAAGTAAGCTAGTATCTTGAACTGATCCGTGGAACCTTATACCTCTTCCAGATACGGAGCTACTTCTGACTCATTTGCCAGCATTTTGATCCCCTTCCTCTTCCAAAAGCAAATCAAGCTTTGTGGATCCACTATGGGTTCTGACGTATGTGATCTTGTTGATTTACAATGCTTCTGTGATCCTACTGACACGTTGTCATTGTAGCGAGAATTCAAAGACATGATGGTGTTTATTGACAAACACCAAATCAAACCTGTCGTATCCACAGTCCATCAGGGCCTAGAAAAGGCTGAGGATGCATTCGTTGAAATGCGAGAGGGCAAGGTAGATGTCCTGCCCATACTTCTCGTACTGATATACTTTCGATGGACTAAAACCTTTCGTCATCATAGCAATTCGGTAAAATCGTTGTCAAGATCAACCACAACTCTAACAAATTGTAGTCTCTTGAATACAACCCTCATTTGGTTTCAATATCACTGATTAGTCCGAGGCTGTGTTTTGTTCTCGCCAAACGGCACAAACATCTCAATACAAAACGACACCAAAGCCGATCTTCCACTTGAAAAATATCACTGTTTGAATTATTACATATATATACGAGAAGAGAGGAAAATAATCTTTTTAACTAAGTAATGTACCGGCAATCACTCTTCACCAGAATCCATAGCGTCCAGACTATCCGTGCCCTCTCCACCAGAATCTTGACTGCCAGTACTGTTATCACCGGACCCAGTAGCACTAGATCCATTTGATGACGCCGTCATTGGCATATTCTGGTAACCACTATCAAACAAGTTCTCAGCAACAGTGTTGCTACTGTTATTATTGTTGTTGCTGTTGCTCGTGGTGGGGCTCGAGTCGTTTCCATCCGTGGTAGATGTGGCGATGAGATATGAAGCCCGTTGTGATGGTGTTTTGACTGTACAGGTTTTCTCATGCCGCCTGAGATTGGATAAGACCGAGAATCGTTTTGAGCAGTTATCAAATAGACATACGAATGGCCTTTCACCAGTATGACTAAGGAGTGAAAGAAGGTGAGTTAGTCATGTCGTTGTTGTGAGGCACGCTGAATCATTTGATTTTTTTGCGTGGCTTACCTATGCATATGTGTCTTCAAAGAGCTCGGCCTAGTAAACCTCTTCTTACAGACATCACAGAGGTACTTCCTCTTGCTCTCATTACGTTTCCTGTAATCATCACCAACCAACACGACCAATGGCTCTGGTATAAGTGCCTTTACACTACTGTTACTGCTACTAGACTTTTCTGACTGTTCAACGTGCTTCTTCTTGGCAGAGTTGTTGTGATGGTGGTGGTGGTGATGATGCGTTTCACGATGCATGCCAGCCTTTTGATGATCATAATTGCCATCCTCAGAATCATAGTATGAGGTGGTCTCACCACTGCTACCACCCGACGACGATTGGTATATGGGTAGTTTGGTTTTGGGATCCAGCATTAGATTGGGTGATTGTGGGTTTCCGAGCGGCGCAAACAGGTTTTGTATTATAGGAGGCATTTGTGTTGGTCCGTTGATGTTGACTCGGGTATTGTTATGGATTGTGACTACATTATGAGGATTTTGTCCAAGACCATCAGTAGAGTGTGCAGTTGTCAGTATTGGCTCATGTGAATGACTGGATTCATGACTAGAATATCCTCTATATCCACTAGGTTGCCGTATTGGTTGTGTTGTTTGGTTACTGTTTGTTGCTGATGTGTTTAGATAAGGCCAATTCGATGGTTGAGACCATACAGCATCGGTTGGAGAATTATATGATGTTGCATAAACAGCTGGATTTATATCGGTGGAAACCAATGTGGAAGGTGTCATGCTGGCAGCTGCGGTCATGTAAACCGGTGGGAAACTTCCAGTGTTACCAGATCCAACAGGTATTTCATACTTGACTGTACTGGTGGGTCGATACGAGGGTGGGAGAGTCGCATCAGCACCCCAGATATTTGGATTGTACTGTGCCGGTATTGAAGCCGAATACACCAAAGTGGCAGCCGGTGTCGGAATAGTGGGCCTATACGATACTATAGTAGCAGTAGTAATGGCTTGAGGTAGCGCAGTTGGTGCGTATGTGGCGGATTGACCATATGGTATGGCATGTACCATAGGATGTGGTGTTCCAGCGGGTAATGGAGATACATGATTCATCATTCCTGCCGATCCAGTCACATAAGCAGATTGAGCTGGAGCTGTCTGAAGCCTTATTCCTGCTGGTACAGTAGAAGGTAAGACTGATTCTATTCCTTGTGGTGGTGAGTAATATCGTTCTGTGGTTGAGTCTACCAATGGAGCCTGTGTGTATAGAAGTGCACCACTTGGTTTTGGTGCGAGACCCAAAGATGCAGTAGAGGCATAGGTGCTGGGTGGTGGACTTATACTTTGGTTTTGGTATGGTGCTGTTGTAAGTGTCGGTGCTTGTACAGCGTAACTCGCAACAATTGGAGACGGATCTATACAGACACGTATCGCGAGTTAGCTTGGAAAATTAATGAAGTCAATCGGGGCAGGATTTTGTCCGTATGCTTTGTGGAATTGCGACGAGAAAAAAAACAGCGAAGAGCATACCTTGTGTAGATGAATACCTTCGAGCTCCAGCCTCAGCATACTTTGATGGCATATACGTGTATGGAGTCTCACTCGGTATATTACTGGTGAATCGATGCACTGGTATGTCATATATGTTGGTTTTATAGATGTCTGACGTGGAAGGCAAAACAATCCTCGAATTGACGTCCAATTGAGATTGATGCTTAGGATCAGACGATGATAGTGGTTGTGGTGATGTTCGGTTTGCAAAGTATCGTTGAGCAGCAGCGTGTACATCCAATGTAGATGGTGTTGCGACGTCGTTGGTCGGGCCCGACAGCAGATTAGGTACAGACACTGGATTTACAGGTGAAATCACCTTGTTTACTTGATTTGAGCCATGAGATTGCGTTACTATTCAAGAAAAAAAAAGCCAAGGTTAGACCCGTAAGATTTACCATCGCAGTAACAAATTGAGAGATATTCAGCTCGTTCAGAAGGAGATTACAAGAGTTGAAAAGAAAGCTGAATTCATGAAACAAGCATGAAATAATACGACATTCCAACTTTAAATCTCCTTTAGCTCGTAAACAGACTTGCCGATTTCTTACATTGCGCCATGGTGACATTTTGCGTGTTAAAAGAGGCCATAGTGTTTGTAGATCCCCATGAAGGAGCTTGGGATGTCATTGGTAGACCTTGAGAAGTAAGATTGGTGCTTGAAGTGTATGAATCGGGTGCAGCATAGACCTGCTGATGCAAGTTTGTCATCTAGTGTGGATTTGATCATGAATACCATATTGAAACGTATGCTCAATTGAATGTGTAAAGTGATGTGTGGTGCTCACCTTTTGAGAAGTGGATGATGCTAGTGTTCCGTAATCCAGGATTTTCTGATCTGCGTTTGTGATTAGAGTTGAAGGCGATGCCAGTGTACAATCCCATGGTTTTGGATCTGGCTGCAATGCGATACAGGACCCTGGAATGATACATACATACCCGCATCTCCCCCCCAAAAACAGCAAACCCGTGGCTTCGACTTCGCACCACAAACAAGCCCGATGGTTCCGATTTCTCCTGCTTGGATTTTACAGCCAGTTGCATCGAGATGTCTGTCTTGTCGCATCTGGTGTCGAAAGGGCAGCATCGAGTCTCCGATACGGTGACAATCGTTGGTGCATCCCAATTTGGGCAGTATGCCACCCGCCGATGTTCCAAATGCCCCATATTCATTCAGTTCAGCATGCTTAAAGATGTCCGAAACAACCATAAACCTGCTAGAACCATCGTCAAGCACATCGGCGAGTCGCGTAGAAGGATAATTCCTTGTTCAAGTTGATCTGAAAAGACGGACATGCTCCGATTCTCCAAAGCTCCTCGTTCTTGTCCCCGTGGTCTTCGATAACGACCAAAAATTGAGTCCATCACTGCACGATCATTTACATACATCCATTTGGTATCAAATCCTTGATTTGAAGATTTTGGTTCATAGTTTCATCTACTTTTTGTCTCAACTTTTTCGGGTGATGTCTTGTATGCTTCGCGAATGGTTTTTATGATGCGCAGTCAAGAAGAGGTTTCTCTATCCATCGTTCCTTAGTGCTGGATACAAGATGGCGCATGCCGTAGGCTCTGTGGAGAGTCAAGAACAACAAGTGGACTATGTTTTATAAGTTAGTATTCTCGTACATTATTACAACCACACTACCATTTCCACCATATAATAAAACACAAGCACAATTTTCTTCAGCGCAAACCTCAGAGCCCTCTCTGTCTCCTTGGTAATTGAGGCTTGGCCTTGAAAGTCACTCTGGAAGGATCGATAAGAGGCTCCAATCTCATTGGATGTTGCTCCAAGTACTCTTTGACCATTGTTGGCGTCACGCTACACGATGATAGATCTGGTAAGTACAGTGCCCAAAAAAAGGTTGGAAACTATTGCATGGTTGATATCGTTGATATCACACCACAACCTACCAAATCATATTCTCTCCCTTCCAGTAGCGAATCATCTCCATAGAGCTGAGAGTTGACACCACATCTTCAACTCGAATACTGGTTGTACCTGATAACTGCTTCAAAGACATACTACAACCTTGACTCGTCTTCAAGAGGGATAGCAATACACTTTGCCAATATGATCGATATCCAACCATGCCCAAATCGGATAGAGGTCTTTCAGGTGATCCTATTTTGCCTTCAATCTTGGATGCTTCATAGCCTGCGAACAAACAAATTGTTGGTGCGAAAAAAGGAAAGCAACTCATTCATGTGTACTCACTGAATTCGATGAGCATACGACCAAATCCTCGTCGTTGGAATGGTGGGAGTGTCAATATACAAGCGAGATTATAATCATCCAAACTATGTTTCTCCTTTGAAAAGTATCCAACCAAATGATCGACTTCTCGTCCTTTACTCTTTTCGGTTTCGGTCAAGACGTAGAAGTAGAATGGTTCAATGTCGTAATATACAGTTTTGTGGTCCAAGAACAATTTGGAGAGGAGGCACAGGTTTTGACAATACAGCTATAAGGAGAAAAAAAGTCAGAAAGCACATATATGATAGCTAAGACTTCGACGGGAGCCATTCACACACACGAACCTTTTCATCCTTCCCATCAACTTCATAGATTTTTATAGTGTCCTTGTGATAGACCATTGTGCCTGGCGGACGACGCTGTTTGCATGTTTGCTAGCGGGGAAATCTTCGTCAGCAAACAAAAAATTGATTGTTTGTCTTCACGCCCAATGGGCTCACAGCCAACTCTTCCATTGCTGAAAATTCAATTATTCACTTACACGATGTTGAACCAAAGAATCAGGCAACCTCATATACTTGAGACAGAATTCACACAAGTACAGAGTCTTTTGATCCTTGTATTCATCTGGATATGGCGAAAAGTACCAGGTCCCAATCTTGTATTTGCCAAAATAGATCGTTTCGACATTTCTGACTTTGGTAGCTTCTTCACGTTCTCGTTCCAAATCGAGGAGTTTTGGATCGACTTCACCAGGCTAAGTGTAGGTAAGGGTTTGAGGTTTACAAGTTCACAGCGAGAACAATCACGAAAAGACAATAAGCAATAAGTTGAAATCCAAATTCGAGCAGTAGTCCTACCTTGTGAAAGTTCATTTCGTCGAACTTCCTCTTCATATTCCTCGTGACTTTCTGACCCTCTGCTACAGGTGCAGCGGGTAGTGTCTCCTCAATGACAATGGTAGCCGCAGAAGATGCGTCCGATACTGGTCTTTTATCCACAACATCTGGTAAGACCCATTCATCTAGTCTCCTGTCCTCTAGAAGATGTAATAGTTTGCGTGTCAGCAAAATTCCGTTCCAGAATTGATTGTGGCGACTTTGATGATGTTGGTATAAATGACACTTACGACCAATATAATGTACATAGTATTCGGCAGGATCTCCATTCCGTAATTGACCTCGAACCTCTACTATTCTTGCTTTGTCTGTATTTCAATATTTTATGTTTGTTAAACGACGAGATAGATAATCTACAAACTCTATCAGGGATTGAAAGTACTTACGAGGAGCTCCCTTCCATTTTACCATATGAGTCGATCCGACTTTAGGAGCCTCGAGCGCTTCCTTTGGAGCCATTTTTTCATTGGGTTGGTTTGGATTTGTTTGTTGAACTTGTGTTGAGTGTAGGCGTCGTTGTTGGATAGAGACGTGTAAGAGGCCGAAAGATCAACAGATTAATACTGACAGTCCTTTGATGACCTGACCGCCGCTCTCCGCTCTCTATTGCGCAATTCTGACAGACAAGGAAACGAGGCTCCCAAATCTCGAGTCATCCTGTTATATTACAAGTTCATAGTTGATAGACTACTATTAATTCCACTAGTTTACTTGAGTTTTCGCCTCCATGCTGAAGATTGTGGTTGTGTGGGTTTGTGTCGTGTTTTCATTCCGCAAATTCGTGCACATCGATATCTTGTTCCAATGGAAGTTGGTAATGGCTCAATTCTTGAAAATCTTCTTCCTCTTGTTCATACAGTCCTTCTGGCGGGAAGGTGTCGTCGTAATCGTCTACCTGAATGTCACGTGGGTCGAAATATGCAGCCTCATATTCAGCATCGTAATCCTCGTCCAGGTACTCATTGTTGTCATCGATATACTCGTCATCTTCGTATTCGGCGTATTCGCCATCTGGGTCATACTCTTGATCTTGATCGTCTTCCTCATACTCGGCATTATTCTTACTTACGGAATCAGTCTCTTGACTTATCGGAATGAGGTTAGGCAGCAGTGCCTCGCGTCGAATTTGACCATTTTCTCTAGTCATTGCTTGAATTGGCTCACTCCAAGCTCCCATTTGAATTGGTGGCATTTGAAAAGTCAAGGAATTGTTTCTCGCCATGTCTAATTGTCTGCGACGTTGTCTTCTAGCACGTTCAGCAGCTACAATTCGTCTCTTTCGACGAATATCTTGATCATAGCGTACCATCTCATTGACTTTGTTAGATACCACTCGATTTGTCATGGCCGCGGTAACGTCTGGTGACGGAAACACGGTATTCAAAGACCTTGACCATGAAATCGATCCGTTGAATTGCAACAAAGCATTGGCTGGTGCAAAGATGATGGAGCCATATCGTCGGACGAGGGTGATTGACCTTGTTAAACCTTTCCGAGACACGAGAATGCCAGCTGCAGCTGTTGCTAGTGCGGCAACAGATCCGACAGTGGCAATAATGATGATGATTAACGATACGCCGGAAGTTGGTGCTGAAGTCGGACTCGCTGACGGGGATGGCGATGCGACAGATGAGCGAGCCACAAAGTCGATCGAAAAGTAGGTCAAGTGGTTACAACAACATGTTACTTGAGAGCCTTGGAATGAGTGCAAACTACAGCCCCAAGTTGACCACTGAGACTTGCTAGTATCCCAATATTTGCAAGTTGGAATCGTACTGTTTGAAACATTTTGAGCAGGAACTATTTCAAGAGTATGAAGTGAGAGGCTGCTTGGAGCCCGCTGAGAGTCGACAAGGTCTCACTTTTGGTCGGGACAATAATGTAAATGCAGCTTTGAGTATTGTTTACTGCAATATAATTCCCGGTTGTTCCATCACTGATACTGAATTCGACAATGCTTGCATCACTGTAAATCAGGAAGACTAGTCAATAACTAAATTGTTCCAATTCTCGTGACATCACCACACGTACTCTCCAACGGTGGCATTCCCATCCACAGCAGAGAACGGATTGAATGCCAATACAAATAAATCCAGCCTAATGTTGGCAGGAACACTTGGCAGAGTAGCAAAAACCTCATTCAACACCACATCAAGATTTCCAACACCGCCTGCAGCGGAGGATCCAGTTGTTGAGACCGTTAAATTAGAAGGAATTGAAGAAACGTTTACTGGTTCGTACAGCATATTAGCTTTTTTGCATATATCAGCGCAAGTGCTAAATAACTCCTCTCACCTTTCTGCGCAATTTGAGCAATAGATGAGCTCACTATCGTCACTGGTGGACCTCCAAGCTGAAGGGAGCTTGAAGCTCTGCTGGACAGCACGCCCATATACGAATTTGCTAGTGATTGCAACAATGCTGCGGTATATGGCGTAGATGTTCTACTTGATACAGAGCTTCCGCAGGTCCAAGAATCATACACTACTCCATATCGGTTCAATAGGTTTGCGGTACTGTCGATTGAGACGAAAATGCCAGCAACAGAGACTTGCAAGGCTTGATCAACTTGAATTTCAGATACTCCAGTATCCACCAGAATATTAATCAGATTTACGGCTTGAGTAGCTCCGACACTTGATAAGTCTGTGCCATCACTGACAACAGATTCAATAATTTGCGAAAGGCTGAGAAGATTGTTGACGACTGACTGATTGCTCATACTGGAGACGAACTGGTTTAGTTGATACAAGATTCCAGCTCGCACAAGAGCCAAACTAGATCTGGCATTTGAGCAACTGGCGACGGTTGAGCCCAAAGTCTCAAAGCACGAAAATGACGTGCAAAACGACAGAGACGCTGGTGATGGAATAGCGACTGCTGTTGCTGTGAAGACGACTGTCGTTGCTAAAGCTGAAGAATGTAGGGTGGTTTTCGTTGCTAATGGAGCGGCTGATGTAGTGTAGACCGTTTCTGTTATATGCAGAGCCGAAGTAACCAAATCAGGTGTTCTTGTTGCAATGGCGATTGAAGCCGTTGATATTGTGATGGCATCAATCGTCGTCGAACTGCCGCCATCAACGGGCGAAGTCGTAGCGACTGATATTGCGGTTTCTGTGACTAAAGCCCGACTAGACCCAAGCGTTGCCGGAGCTAGCGAGTTCGTAGATGTGGCAAATGCTGCGGCACTGGAAGCTATTAATGCTTCACTACTCGTAGTAGTCTGTACCTGAGATGACGATGGATATTCATAACTGGTGGTGGCACTCGACGATATCGTTACAGAAGCCATGGTCGCGGTAGGTGTTATAGAAACACTATCCGTCGTAGACGTGGAAGGTATGTTCGGGGCAGTTACTTCAGAGGTTGTTAAAGACCACGACAAGGTTGCAGGAGATGGCAAGTCAGTTGGGGTTGCTGAAGAGTCCAAGGAATCGGTCTTTGTTGGATCAGAAATAGTCAGAGTAGCATCGAGCTTTTCCGTAGTTGTGTACTGCGGTGATGACGTTGTCGTTTGATTGGCTGTGAACGAGTATGCAGTGTTTTCAGGGTCCTGGGAGGTACTTGTGGCTTGCGTTGTGAACGACACCATTGAAATATCTACCGTCTCAATCAAAAAACCTGTCAGAGTTGCTGGAGCTGGCGCATTGCTTGTCGGCGAAGCATCAGTTGTTGATGTGGTTGGATTCATCTCATCGGTAGTTGTTGTGGGTTGAATAGATACCTCCGTGCTAGCAGATTGACCAAATGCACTATTAGCATCAATCGATGGTTGATACGTGGATTGAATCCAATACGTGGTTGGTTCAGGTATCGAGGCAGAAGCTACATCAGCTGTGCTTGTTGGATATATAGTAGATACTGTTTTCGACAAATCTAATGTTGCAGTAGCTTCAACGGAGAGCAAAATCGAAGAGCCAAGTGACTTAGTAGCCATAGTGACTGGATTCGGTGTCATCGATACACTACTTGTCATTGAAGTGGTGAAGCTCCCTGTTTCCGAAACAGTTTCCTGAATTGTTGATGCTTCAGTCGAAGAAGCAAAACCAGTCAAAGTTGCTGGAGTTGGCATGTTGCTTGCCGGCCATACATCAACAGCTATTGTTGTTGTGGTGGGATTCATCTCATTGGAAGTTGTCGTTGTTGGTTGAATGGACACATCGAGACTGGTAAATTGACCAGGAGTACTCATAGGATCTATGGTCGATTGATCAGTCGACTGAATCCAATACGTGGTTGGCTCAGCTATTGTGGCAGAAATTACATCGATTGTGGTTGTTGGAGATAAAATAGAAAACAAAGTTGACGGAGCAGATGTTGCAGTAGCTTCAACAGACAGCAAAGTGGGAGATTCCAAAGAATTACTAGATAACGTGGCTGCATTCGGTATTATCGATACAGTGGTTGTTGAATCAGTAGAGGTTGTTGTTGTTTTTGATAAAGTTTCTTGGCCTGTTGGTACTGTAGTAGGCAAGATGATCATTTGCGTCATTCCAAGTGTTTCAAGAAGGGCTTGTATACTACTGGCAGCCATGCTACTACTTGTTCCAACAGCTGAAGTTTGAACTGTCGAGGTAGGAATTTCAGCGCTCGTGGATTCAAGACTGGTAGTCGAAGAAGTGATTGATAAAGGAGCTGACTTAAAGGTGGTTGGTTGAGAAAACGCAGTAAACGTAGCAGTTGAGCTTGCCGTGTTCAGGTTATCAGTTTCGACAGCTCCGTAAGACGACAATGGAGAGCTGAGCGTCGACGAGGCAGAGTAAAGCGTTAACAATTCAACAGCGAAAGTGGTCGGTATTACAACAGTCGAGGTAGCAGTCACAGTGTCAACAAAATCAGTGGCCAAAGTTGTTGCATCTCTACAGGCTGATATCGACCACGTAGTATATGCATCATCAGTAGATCCGATAGATCCGGTAGCAAAACTATTGAAATCAAAGACAGTTAGTATATAAGCCACCATCAGGCAAATTTTGGCAACATTTCCAAAAACCTGGCAGTTGATGCCGACGATTCCGTGGAGGTAACAATTTGATCGGTACTCAAAATAGATTCGAAACTCGTCTATTTAATAGGAATATCAGTTAAGTAGCAAGATCAACATCAAGATAACTTCAAAAGGGCTTACCTGACCGCCAACAAGCTCAACGCTACCAAGAGCAGCAAGGAACAACACAAGCTGGATCACCCAAGATTTCACCATTATATCATTGTTGAGAGCTTCGAACTAACGTACCAGGTATCTCCACGACTGACTACTTCTTGGGAGTCCAAGGGAATTCTGTAGGAAGAAAAGTTTTTGTTCATTGTCGGTCGTGATGCAACGAAAGCTATTAGACAACAACGTTTCTGCGCGTTCTACAAGCTATAAATTTTCTTATTTGTGTCGGGAAAGAATACAAATTCATTCAAGCAAAGTATACAAGTGAAGTCTTCTTCTTGGCCTGCACTTCTTGAATGCCTAAGAAACAAAAGATATTTAGCACTCAAACTCATTGTAAGGACATTTTAACAACAAAACTACCTTCCATAAAGTCTTCATGTGTTATTTCACTGGCTCCTCTCCTTAATGCGATCATACCAGCTTCAACACAAACAGCCTTGCATTGGGCACCATTGAATTCATCACAACTTCGAGCCAACTCCTCAAAGTTGACATCGCCAGATACCGTCATCTTCCGTGAGTGAATTTGCATGATACGAGCTCGGGCTTCTTCAGTTGGCAGTGGGAATTCAATCTTTCGGTCAAGACGACCAGATCGAAGTAGCGCAGGATCGAGAATATCAATACGATTGGTGGCAGCAATAACCTATGTCATTTACCAGGGGTCAATGAATCAGTTTTTAAGATGTCGCTTGGACAGTGGTTTGACCCAGTTTGGCTGAGGCGAAAAAAGGTGTCGAAAATTCGATTTTGTACTGACCTTGATTCGATCATCGCTTCCAAATCCATCCAATTGATTCAGCAATTCCAACATGGTACGTTGGACTTCACGATCACCAGACTTGTCACTGTCGAATCGCTTGGTACCAATAGCATCCAATTCATCAATAAAGATGATTGCAGGTGCCTTTTCTTTTGCCAAGTTGAATGCATCCCGAACCAATTTAGCACCATCACCAATAAACATCTAGAATGACATCATTGAAAAGCTGTCAGGGCTCTGATTTCGAAATACCAGGAACAAAAAAAAAGGTGATCCTGCACATAGATGTACCTGTACAAGTTGAGGACCAGCCAATTTCAAAAAAGTAGAGTTGGTTTGAGCTGCACAAGCTCTGGCCAACAATGTTTTGCCTGTCCCTGGTGGACCATACATCAACACTCCTGATTAAATGGCAAAAAGAAGTCTTGAGTAACGGTAGTGTATGTGGCCCCAAATCACCACACACATACCCTTTGGAGGCTTAATCCCCAAATTCTTGAACTTATCAGCATGAGTCATGGGCAACACAATAGCTTCAACCAATTCCTCAATCTGCTTGTCCAAACCACCAACATCATTATAATCTTCAGTAGGTTTCTCATCGACTTCCATAGCCTTGACTCGAGAATCGTATTCGGCAGGAAGGTTGTCCAATATCAAATACGAGTCCTTGTTGACACCTACTAGATCACCTGGTTTGAGTTTATCCACTTCTACTAGACCAATCATGGGTAGGAAGATGGTTTGTCGTGTTGAGGTTTTGATGACTGCACATTTCCCTTTGCGGTGTGCATCTAAGTCAATGTTTGCGCCGTCTTCTTCTGGTTCGTCTGCTGGATCCATGTCCAATAGCTGTAGTTGAGGATTAAGAAGTGTTGAGTGGACGTGTTCGTTTAAACATCACTATCACGGACGGTGCAGCATGTTTTTTGGTACATACCTCTACGACATTGGCAACTAGATACGGTAACTGTTTGTTTAATTTAATTTTCTCCTTGTTATCCTTGATCTTTTCCTTTTGAGCAGCATGTTCATGTGTCAATCGAGATTGTTCACTCTTCATGACCTATGTAAATGTTGCGAACGATGAACATCATTTCAAATAGAGTGACAGAGACAAGAAAATACAGAATTATTGGAGCATCTCTTCATGACGACATCTATGGCCTCACCTTGACATCATTTTCTAGTAACTTAGTTCGATTGGCAATTTCGTCTGTTGATGCTTTCAATATTTCAGCGTCCAAATCATCAAACGTGTCTCCTGATGCACCAGCCAATGATTCCAACGTCGTCATGATGGATTTGGATATTGCAAGCTTGCCTGGATTTTTTCTCCCTATGCTATGTCCAGAACTTTGAATGTTAAAGATTACGCGTCGAACGATAGAGTGGAATAGGGATGAGGAACGCGTTCAGGAGGTAAATTTGGTGACTGAGAACTGTAATATAATTACAAAATTGCATGTACTACTGCTATTTACACGTATACAGTACTGGAAAACCCGAACATCCACCAAAAGCAAACGTGCCCCTTTCTAATCACCTCGGGGCGATCAAAACTAAGAATATTATGATTGCCAATATCCAAGAAAGTCCAGTTAATATAGCTCCAGTCAGAGTCAGCAACCGTGCAGTTTGCGACAAATATCCAGCCTGGTTTATCTTGCCTCTAACGACGAGACTATCTACTTGCGACGCATGATATACAGCACAGATAGTCAAAGGCAAAGAACACTATATTTTGCAATAAATTGTACGTTAGTACGATGTCGGTCAAGAAAGACCGTTTTTGCAGCAATGACCAAACACTCCTCCTCGTTTCCTCCAAACAACGGTAGATACCAAACGTAAGAGCAGAGAGTTCAATTTCAGTGTGCCTTCTCCAACAATCTGCGCTCTTTACTTACACAACAACATGCGCTCAACAGCGAAATGATCAAGCTTTCGGCAAACCAACTCTTGATCTTCCTTGCAGCCATTATCTGCCTATTAGCAGGAGATCCATCATCAGACCAATCCAGAGAATCATCTATTGATCCACGCTGCACTAGAGGCTGCGATTCTACATCGCCACCGATTGGCGAATCGACGGTTTGAGAGTCTCTTCTAAAATACGATGCAGAAGCAGACGTCGGTGAGTTCTGAGCACTATTGCTCAATAACTTTAACAAGCTGCTCGAAGCTTTCGACATTTTGGGTTGATCGGTGGTGAGATTCCGTGTTTTGTCGCATGAGCAGTCAAACATTCAAGGTTGTGGAGTTTGTTGATCCACGCGAAGTACGCGACTCCACGACGCTGACGTGTTATTACGTTGCAATACGCGCCAAAGCACTGAATCTCTTGCTGTTTCTAGCTCTTTGCAACTGCGCTCTATCTTCGGTCAAGTGCGCCTTTATTTTAGCGCATTTATATACTTACTACTACTAAAGATCACTATGAGGAGTAGGCAAAAAGCTATATACAGTCCCCAATAATCCCAACGCTGCCCCTAATACAATAACCAACTTATAAAACAACCTCCTGACTAACGATATCTCATCACCGTAGAGCTTCAAGAAGCAGAGGAGTGGAAAGACCACCGCCACAGTGAAGGAAAATCCAGATCCGAGCAGAGCCATAACGTTCGTGAACCCAGGATAGTATATAGCTATTACAACCACGAGGAGAGACACGATAGACCGTGATATGATCCTGACAATCCCTTGATGCTGATACGCACTTACAAACGTTGTGTGGAGTGTGTTCTCAATCTGCGTATTTACTGGGCTCAATAGCAACGGATACTTGGTCATCGGGTTGATTGCGACTAGCCACACAGTCATTTGGGTTAACTGAGGATTAAATGATGGTACAGTTGGGAGATTCTGGGTGATTTCGTTCTTACAATTTTCTCCAAACATGAGGTATCCAGACCCTGCTATTACTATGTAGATTCCGAGCACTATTATATACGTTATTGTGACAATCCAACTAAATCGTTTCGGCTTCCCCAAGTCTCGATACAGCGACGGGAAGACTGCGTGCCCGTCCAATCCAACCATTGTCAAGCCTATAGCCATTGGCAATACGTTTATATTGGGCGGTAACAGACTCGTAGTTTCTGGGACTAATATCGATCCAGGAGAAGTATGAGTCGTCAGTCCGTCAAACAAAATAATGGCAATCATGTTGAGTAATGCGATTATTCCTATAAATGAGGTATACGACAAAAGCTGCATCGATTTGGGCCAAGTCGTGGGTGTCAGAACCAAAAATGTGACTAGCTTTATATAGGTAAGTTGGAATTGAGGGAATAGTGCATGTATAGAGTCCCCTATCAATATGCAATATGCAACACACGCTGCCATCATCTGGCACACGAATACTGCAGATATAAACCTTCGACCATTGAGACCAAAAGCAGCTTCTCCTACGTCTCCATACGTCAACCCTATTAACCCACCAGGGCCTTTGACTTTCGGATGGTCCTATAGTAATCTCTTGTCAACTCTTTGTACAGATGAACCTATAAAGGTCAAAACCGTAGCATGGTTTTGCAAAAACTTACCAGACACTTGGCGAGTAGCACAGCGGTATGAGAAGTAGTTGCGGCGAAGGTGATCAGCAGTCCTGTGCCGACAAGCCAACCAGTCAACTTGAAAGTGTAGGGCAGAGTCTAACGAGAAAAGATCAGATCACACAAACACACACTCACCGCACAAACAACGAAACGAAGTTTGCGATCAGATGTCGATCATACCAGAACTCCCATTCCAGCAAGCAAATTCACCGAGTTGAACAATGATTGTGAGAAGCTCGACTTTTTAGGTTGTGATAATTTAGGTATCAGCGGCGTTCGTTCCGTGTCATCATGTATCGTTATATCTGCATGGTTACGATGTGAGGCTCCATTGAGATGAGATCTTGGCTGACCATCGTCATCATCGTCATCAGAATCTCGTGGTTGACCATCAGTTCCGTTATTATCGTTCTCGTCGTCATCAGAATCATGTAATCTTCCACCACCTTGAAAAATGACACTCCATGATCTGCTTATTGATTGACTCCAGCTGGTATTTCTATTCCTACTAGCGCGACTGTTCTTGTTGGAAGTAGCTTCATGTTCGTTGTCGCTGTCGTCTGGACTCCTCACGGGATTGGGGGTCCTGTCTGATGGCGAGGGCGGTATGGCAATTGATGGCGAGCTCATCTCACTGATCCGAAGGACGTTTGCTCGTGCTGTTCTTGTCTCGAACTGTGTTCTACGAATTTCCCAAGGGTTATGAACTCGATCGTAAACAGAGTGACGGGTGACGTGCCAAAACGCGTGATTATACCAATGAAATGTTCCGTAAATAAGTAGACGTGGGGACGATGGTATGTTATGTAGCTTGAAGCCTTCAGAAACACTCGTTTCGCTCAAGGAGTGTGTGCTTGAAGACATGATGTTGGCAAAATGGAGCTTGCGCAAGTGGATCCCGTGGATAGTGACGCTGCTGCTCGTATACATTCATATTGTTATGGCTGATTCATTTGCAGAGGGCACAAATGAGAATGAGGTTTACATTGTTGCTGGTTTGAGAAGCTTGTTGTGAAAAAGCGACTTCCAATTTACTCACTATCCACTCATTAGATGCCTGATGATATCGTAAACGACTCTTCAGCTGATGTGATTACCGTACCAGGCATGAGAACATTTCGAAAGTGTTTGAAGTTTTTGCGAGTTCTAAATCGCTCCTATACCATCTAGTTGATGAAGGTCAGGCACTATACAAGCAATGTATATCGGTCTTAACTGATCTATCACAACGAAAGCCCCAAAAATTCTCCTTGACCGCATCATATGGTGATCAAGACACTGACATTGTCATAATACTTTGGCATTACATATCACGAACCCTGTTTTCACGACGTTCACAGCCTATACCGTCCCATGCCGAACCAGAACGACTTCCTGCCGATGTGGAAGTGTATGATGAGAGTCTGCAGGTGCCTGACTTTGTCGAGCATGATCCTCCACTTACATCCAGGATCAAGGCTACACGTGGACTGATGATTGCTGGGCTTGGTATGCATAATAAGGATGCGCTCCTTACGTTAGGTGATATGTACTTGGTAAGTTTGACTCGGGTTTGGCAAGATAGCAAAAAGGTGCAAGTTGAAACTGACAACACACCCTTACAGCTTGGCCAGTTCAATCACCCTCGCAATGCCACTTTGGCTGTAAAATACTATAATATACTGTCGCGAGATTATGGAAATGCAACCGCACAATCACGGTTGGGATTCTTGTATGCGGCTGGAATTGGTGTGCCTCGAAATTACGCAAAGGTAATTGTTTCATGTGTCTTAGATAGAAATTGAGAGGCATCGTCGAAACCATGCTAAAATTATTACTCTTTTGTATGTAGGCACTGGTGTACACAAGTTTTGCAGCAGTGGGAGGAGACACAGCTGCTGAACAAACGTTAGGTTATTACAGTCAGCTAGGAATCGCTTCTCCAAAGAATTGCGAAGAAGCTGCATTTTACTACAAGAGAGTTGCTGACAAGGGTAAGAGCTCCTGCAATTTACCTCTATATTTTCTCGTTCATTGGTCCTCACTCGTAATGGCAGCTATGGAAAGGTATAGAGCTGGACCACCTGGTGGCCTGCATCTCCCGAAAACAAGGACGCGACTGTATGAAGCTGATGGGGGAATATATCGATCTGGAGCTAGTGGTCCTGGTAATCCGAACCAAGGCGGTCATCATGGCTATCACTGGTCTCCGCAGGAAGCTCTACAGTATCATCACTACTCTGCAGACAGAGTAGATGGTGATGTCACCTCTCAGGTGCCAAGAAAGGTTCGCATAATTGCCTAGATTGCATCTTTAATAACCATTCGTTTCGTTTCTCATAAGTTATTGCTGGGACAAACATACTATTCCGGATCTAGTCACGTAGCTCAAAACTTCACAAAAGCTCTCCACTACTTTCGAAAAGCAGCCAAGCAATATCCAGAACAAGCCATTGCTGCTATTCATCAAGCTCAAGCTCGCGGTGAACCTTTACCGACTTTAACTTCATTACAACATACCAGAGCAACCATCGCTGCCAAAGCTGCTGGATACTTGGGTCAAATGTATTGGAGAGGTGAAGGCATTGAACAGAATATTGATCATGCTAAATGGTATTTTGAGCGTGGTGCCAAACAAGGCGATGGAGCCAGTCATACTGGACTTGGTATGATGTTTGAAGAAGGTGTTGCTGGACTACCTGTGGTAAACGTTTTGGTCTTAGCCGTTTTTTTTGGCACACCTTCACTGATTCAGCCACTTGTTGTAGGATTTGGTCAAGGCTCAACATCATTATGTGAGAGCTGCTGAACTGAACGATGCAGATGGTCGTGTACATTTAGGAGATCTGCTACTCAGTAAGCAAATGGCATACATTAATAGAGGGATTTTCTGTTCACCACTTCTGAATTGCCCTAGATCGAAAAATACCTGATTATACTGGGGCCTTCAAAGCTTTTGCTGAAGCTGTCAAACAAGGACACATGTATGCTCATTATCGTGTTGGAGAGATGATGATTGATGGGTTAGGGACTCAAAAGAATTGTCCAGCTGGAGTTGCTGTGAGTAGAAGTTCTTTTATTTGTTTGGGCGTCCTTACCGGCTTTTGTCCAACTGTGTGGTTGACCTTTCCCTCCAACGACTCCAGTACTTGAAGACTGTAGTGGAACGCGCAGACTGGCATGATCCAATAGTGTTGGATGCTGAGAAATCCTACTTGGGAGGAGATGTCGAAGTTGCTCTGCTCAAGTATTTGATGGCAGCTGAACGAGGATATGATTTGGCCCAAATGAATGCCGTATGGTTGATTGATCAAGGTATATAATTGTCTAGAACCAATCCTACCTGTTTACTAATAACTGAGCTGTTTTGTTGTTTCAGGAATCTACGACATATCGAAAACCAGAATGTTTTCGAATGAAACGGATATATACGAAGTAGCTCTAACATTATGGAATCGCGCTGCTAATCAAGGCAACGTTGATGCTCGAGTAAAGATGGGAGATTACTACTTTTATGGTCTGGGAACCAAAGGTGAAGTAAAGGAACCAATAGCACCACCACCAGAGACACCATTATCAGATGGTGGTGAAATCAAAACGCATAATAATTATGATATCCGACTGGTGTCCCCGTCACTATATATTGCTGATCTGATGCATTCTTTCGGACTGGATTGGTTGATGCCACATGGTCTCTTGACTGAACTCTTGTATGCTCGAGGTCATCCAGATTATGAAAGAGCTGCCTTGTATTATCAAGTAGCAGCCGAGTCTGAGTTCTCGGCTATGGCTATGTGGAATTTAGGATGGATGCACGAAGCCGGACTAGGAGTCGAGCGAGTAAGACTATTGCTCCTTAGTACGATCGCCGTCTTTTGCTCTAACAGATTTTTCGTTTGCGGAAACATAGGACTATCATCTAGCCAAACGCTTCTATGATCGTTCGCTTCAAACGAACCATGAAGCATACCTCCCAGTCAACCTCTGTCTATTAAAACTCCATATCAAGTGGGCCTTTTACAGCATCTTCTCCCCATCGTCCATAGTAGCACCACCGCACATACAGCCTACTAGTGAAAAGTCATCATCTGGATCTTCCGACTCTCAAAAAACGAGACTTGGTCGTGACGGACTTCCAGGGGAGGATCCGTATTTAAATGAGCTAGAGGATGAGTCGTGGGACTGGGACTCTTGGTGGGAGGGTGAGAATGGAGAGGACTTAGCTGAAACTGTTATATTGGTTGTCCTTGTGTTGATTGGAATTGCATTGTTTTACTGGAGGCAAGCTCTGAATCGTGTGGTTGGACCACAACAGCAACAACAGCAGCAGCAACAAGATCAGTTGAGGCAGCAGTTGCAACAGATGGCTGCGCCTGGAGGGAGATAGTTGGGAGTGTGATTGCATATGCATAAGCTATTGGGTGTTTTGCATCTAGTGTAAGAAAATAAAGTAGTGTGTACAGATATCGGATGCAGGTGTTTTTTTTGAACGGTTTTGAGCGCTTGCAGGCAGGTGTGTCTTTGTCAAGGTCACGAAACTTCAACACCCGAAATTCTGATCAGCTGGGTCGGTTAAGCAGCACAGCGTCAGAGCAAGGAAGGCATCCTAGTCATCATCATGGCAGGTAAAGAACCATGGATATACTGCATCGTTTTCACATCTTTGCTTGTCTTCCAAACCCCAAAAGCAACAGATCAGCACATTAAATCCGACTTGCTGTCGTTATAGACCGGCGAGCTCAGAACAAGTACTATCCGCCTGACTGGGATCCTTCTAAAGTAAGAACCGAGTCATTGTACCAAATTCTTACAGCCTTCACATGAAAGTCTCTGACATTAAACACAAATTTCTAGGGCTCAATCAATACATTTGTTGGACAACATCCTCTGCGAGATCGAGCAAGAAAACTAGATCAAGGCATTCTGATCATACGGTTAGCGTTTTCGCTCTCTTTTGGTGAACCCCAGCTAACCCCAACGTTTGCAAACTATTAGATTCGAATTACCGTATAATATCTGGTGTGAAGGATGCAAGAACCATATTGGCATGGGTATGAAGCATGATTTTGATCTCTTGTAATTATCATTACGACTCCTTATTCCCTCTTTTGCGCAACTAGGTGTGAGATACAATGCCGAAAAGAAAAAGGTTGGGATGTATTACACTACGCCGATCTGGAGTTTCCGAATGAAGTGTCACTTGTGTGATAATTGGATGGAGATACATACTGATCCAAAGGTAAACTTATTCTCCTCGCGACGTATGTGTTTTAGATGAAAGGCTCACATCGTGTTTTAGAATTCGGAATATGTCGTCATTTCAGGTGCAAAGAAGAAGGTGGAAGATTGGGATCCCGAAGAGAATGGAACGTTGAATTTGAAGGGTAAGGAAAATGTGATTCTCGGTGACCTTTGCCATTTTTTGTTCAACATGTCTGTTATTTTTCGCTCTAGATGACGAGGAAGCAAAGCGACTAGCCACAAACCCATTCTACAAACTCGAACACGACCTAAACGACGTAACCAAAGCCAAAGAAGCACTCCCCGCCATAACAAAGCTTCAAATGGTGAATGACAAGGCATGGAGTGATCCTTACTCCAACTCTCAAAAGCTTCGTAAACGGTTTCGCGAAGATAAAAAGGTACAAGAAGCTATGCAAAAGGAATCGGATGCTATAAGAGATAAACGGAACTTGTCAATCGCCATCCTGCCTGCATCCGCCGATGATGCGAAACGAGCTAGTGAGGTTATCTTTGGTGAGGGGCTTTTGAGGACTGCTGAAGAGAGAAAGTATGCTATAACGACTGGATCCATATTTGGTGGTGATACCGGGATGGTGAGGAAGAGGATCAAGGTCGCGGCGAGAGCTGATCCCTTTGCCATTAAAAAGAAAGGTGGTAGTAGCAATAGTGTCTCAACTCCCAAACCCCTTATAATGTATGGAAGCGATAATGACGAAGATTGATGAAGCAATACCTGATGTATCCATTTTGTAAACTTTGTAGCAATATGTAAACTTTGTAGTAGGAATATAGATAGTAGCCTCATCCTTAGCAACTCTGGCCAACAAAAGGTGCAAAAGGTGGATGCCCCTCACAAATTTTTCCTGGTGTATTTATCACCACTACACCATTTCTACACTCTCAAGTTTGAACTTCCAAGAACAGCCGAAAAACAAGACTTGCCATGTACAGAATGACAGGAGCAACAGAGCAATATTGACGCAACGTCGCAACCCAGATATACCAAAAGCTTTAACTTCATCATCATCATCATCATCATCATCATCATCATCATCATCATCATCATCATCATCATCATCGCGATCACGATGCGGTTGGGTGGAAAGAACGTTTCCTTTGCAGATGTTTACTCCTTTTCCGATGATGCATTTGATATGGACGACATTGTAAATCGTAAAAACGAAGAACGATTTGAATTGGAGCTGGTCTGGAGGGGATTTGTTGGTCAAGATGGGTCATTAAACTTCAGGTTGAATTGGACTCGAGAAATATATCATCCATCTACAGGTGAAGGCAAGTTAGAAACATTGTAGTATGATACTAGTTTGGGTTGCTAATGCTCCTTTTGTTTTCGATCAAACAGGCAGCTTTATGGAATTCACTCTAATACATCATGTAAACATTGATGTCTTTGCCATCAAGGCTCGAGTGCCACATCATATGATGCTGACGTGCATTCAAATTGGCGATTGCAGGACCAAGTATTCAACAAGACGGAAGTCACCTCCAAATACGAGGCGTTTCCAATCGCATCCCGAACCAAAAATATATTAGATCATATGCCTTATTGGATGAACACGGGATGGCACGGGAAATATCTACTTGAAGGTCTTGGTCCACTTGCAGAAACACGACGACGTGGCGAAGCCAGAAAGATGACGTCGCGATTGTATGAACTCACAACTCAGTACAAGCAAATTGGCTGATTGTACAGTCGTTGCTGGCTCTGAACTGGTCGATGACGATAGTAGTGAAGATAATGGACCAGATGCCAAAGTACCTGCTTCAAAACTATTATTGTCATTGTCCTTGAGAGGATGTTTGGTAGCGACTTTGCTGAATCTCATGATGCCATGCCAAGTCTCAGAATAGAAGGTGCATCAAAGGCTAGTTTGCTCGCATTGGCCGAATACACCTCTTTCGAAACAGTCAACGAACATATACGATTGACCACTGATGATCCACTGTCTATATACGAGTTGGCTGATCGGTATGAGATGCCTGGGCTTGGGAGGGAGAGGTGTAGGTGGATTTTCAATGAGGATTTGAGTCCTGAGACTGCGTTTGAGAGATTCAAGTTTGCAGACAGGTGCTGTATTTGTTGACTCAGGGAAATGAGAGCTCTTTCTTAGCTTTCTCAATACCATGGTGTACGCTACTGGGTTTGGAGATAAGACCTTGGGAAACAATTGTTTGGCATATCTTAAGACTTGAAGACAACAAATGAAATCAACAAGGAAGGAGAGTTTGATTGAAGGTCTCAAATCAAATGATGATATAGTTATCGCTGCAGAGGCAGACCTGCTCTGTAAATAAGTCGTCAAGAATCTGTAAAGTGTCGCGGGACTTTGCTATTTGCGTTCAGGAATATATTTCAACATGTGCTCTGTCAAAGCATTTTCTCTGCCAATCCGAAAAGAAAGTCGGACCTTTTCAGATGGGAACATTTGTTGAAAGGGGAAGAGCTTCATGGAGAGTGATCATGATTGTATCCATGTAGATGCCTTGGATTAGATGCCCTGGAACAAGTCACGAAATATGTTTTCGACGCGACACAACGATGATTACAATCAAGAGTTCAAATTTGTATTGCTGAGGCTTTACTTTACATAATGAGCAGTGTGGCTTTTAACCCAAAATTATCACCAAATCATCTAGTGCTATTACTGAGTTATTTATTCCTTGTTATATCCCAACATTTCACCAACTTTGGAAGCAGCACTGCTAGCTGTGTCAGCTACAGCAGTGGCAGCATCACTGACGGTACCGGTAACTCTTTCGTAGATGGTTGGGTCAGCATTTGAGCCAGCTTCATGTAGTTTATCACCAGCCTCGTGAGCTGTGCTAGCAGCAGAGTGTTTGGCATCTGATGCTAGTTCACTGGCCTTGTCGCCGGCAGCATTGGCATGATCTTTGACTGTGTCCTTGGCGGATTTAGCCTTGTTTGAGGCTCTAACAGAAGTGACGATCGGAAGGTTAGAAATGAGATATCATGAGGTTGAAGGAACGCATAAGTCGTCATGATTGGAAGGCACAAGCACGTACTTTTCACTTAAGTCTGAGGCAGCATCCTTGGCATCATCGTATTTGTCCGAGACAGCAGATTTGGCTTCATCGTACTTCTTTGACACAGTCTTCTTGGCTGATTCGTAGTTTTCTGAGGCAGAATCAGCTACACTTTGGGCAGTGTCCTTCACCTTCTCGGAGATGTCGCTGGCAGCGTTCTAATAGATTAACGTTAGCCAAGGATGTATGGTAAAGCGAGATGAAAGGTATAAACCATAAGCTAATGTAAACATGATCGTTGACGTACCTTAACATCTTGTTTAGCTGATTTAGTCATGTTTGTTGTGTTGTTGTTGAAGAGAAGCGAGTAGCTTTGTTGTTGTTGTGTGTTATTATTTACTTTTGAGTTTGAATGAAAGTAGAAATGTAGGACAGGCTATCCGCTATTTATAGTCTCGAGGTATCCCCGAGGATCGACGAACTAAACACCAACCATCACTTTCAATATCTGCGGCCTAACGGTTTTAAACCTTAAGGATGGCATCATAGCGAACTATGAGAATTTGCACGTGCAAGACGGAACATGATCTAGAAGGACACGAATGGATCTAATCATTGTTACTTGATACGTGCTGGATATCACTGTTGCTTCCAAAAACAACCGTTTCGAAATTTATCGCATTGAAAATCGAGAAAACGGACAGACTAAAAATCTGAGAGGCGTTGTCGTATACACGACGCTCAGGAAGGCAGGAAGGTATGCAACATCACTTGATATCGGCAGGTCCAGGTGTCTTGTACGTTTGTATTTATTAATTTTTTTTTTGACAGAATGTCCCTAGTGTAGCTCTGTTATTCAGGTCTCATGGATTCTTCCATATCGACGCTTGACTGCCTCAACTGTTGACGCAGATCTAAACGAACAAGGCATCGAAAACATCGCAATTCAAATCCAAACATCAGCGTACACACTTTCCTTCTCAAGCCTCGTTTGAAAGCAAGCCTCTCATATAGGATATGAGTATGCTTGGTGATGGATATGCATTCTGTGGTCATGACTGAGAAGCCTACGAAGCCTGTCGTAAATTTACCACCGAAGTAGAATGTGCATCAGAACCCCGTGGGTTTGCCTACCTGGTATAACATTGTGACAACGTTGGCTTCAAATTAGTGAATGGATGGTGGCACGTTGAAGGAGTGGAGGAAAAAAAGAGCACGATGGAATTACGCGTGTAAAGTTGCCATATGTAGGTGAATACACAATCTTTACCGCACAACCTGACATGACGTACATTGGTTCGAACCTCAAGAGTATTTACAGGTGCGTATATTGGAAAACATCGGTGATGTTTATCGTGGATTGAGAACCATCTGGCAGGAGAAACATCGGTTGTTACAGACAAGACATTGGTATTCTTATTGATGAGTTTACTTTTATAGCTTTACAGACTGGACATTTGATACAGACAAAATTTCAAACTTTATATATTCAATTTACAGGTTGGATTTCTTGTTGTACCCCAACATTTCACCGACTTTGGAAGCAGCGCTGCTAGCTGTGTCAGAGACTGCGGTGGCAGCCTCGCTGACAGTATCTTTGACTTTTTCGTATAAAGTTGGGTCGGCAGTGGAGCCTGCTTCGTGCAGTTTATCACCAGCTTCATGAGCGCCTTCAGCAGCAGTGTGTTTAGCAGAGGTTGTCATTTCACTGAGCTTGTTGCCAGCAGACTTTGCAGTATCTGAAGCATAGTCTCGGGCAGCTCCGGCATGGTCTGAGACACTACGAAGTGGTTGAATAAGATTAAATACTTAGATTCCAAGGATGAAGATGGTATGATTGTAACGACTGGTACTGGATTACCAAAGCTTCAAAACAATCAACTACTTACGATTGACCAAAGTCCGAGGCGGCAGATTTGGCATCATCGTATTTGGCTGCAACGGCATTTTTGGCGTCATCGTATTTGTTGGCAACAGCCTTTTTTGCTGCATCGTAGTTTTCTGAAGCAGATTCAGCTATTCCTTGAGCCTTTTCTTTGACGGTGTCGGTGATGCTGTTGGCAGTGTTCTATAGATTGACGCAGAGTTAATAATGAGCAACAGAAGAGTAGCAAAGGCTGGATAAAGAGTAGCGGAAACATGAAAGAAATACCGACTAGTTAAATACCTTAGCGTCTTGTTTGGGAGTGTTAGAGTTAGACATGTTTGTGATGTGCGAAGTGAACTAGTATATAGAAGTTTTGTTGGTCGTGTTGCTTGATATCCGTTGTAAAAGGTGAAAGTTCAGTATTGCGAACAGTGTGCACTATTTATAGTGTCAAAGTATCACCGGGATCGACCAACCATCGCTTTTGCTCACTGCGGCCCACCTTTTTGAAACTTTACTTGTGCCAAACCATGAAGGTGCACGTGAATCGTGAATAGTGTAGAGAGACACAATTTCTAGTTGAATGATTCGCTGTCCGTGATATATCTCTCTGTCGCCTTCCGAGAAACACCACTTTCACATTCACCATTCGCCACTTGCGACGCGTCTGGATCGAGTATCAGTGATACAAGAAAGGGACGTATACTGCACACGATAATCCTGCTTCTGTTGGTGATGACGGCTCTGCAGCTCACGCTGCCATTGCTCTTGCGCGCTTGCAGATTATTCAGCAAGCTACATGCTACACTGCACGTATACAAATCAGAGAAGCAGAACGTGAGATCTACT